CGGATCTGGCAGATTGGACAAAGGGTGAAACCCGGGACCTACCGGATAGCTGGAGGCATCACACCTTTGCATTGTTCTACTTGTATGCTTTTGTCTGAGCTTGATCCGGTATGTATCTCGCATGTTGACATGTGAGCCCCCACATTACGGGGATGAGATGTCAAGACGCATCTAGGTGAAATGGCACAAACACGCATCGTGATTTATGTAGCCGTTGATGCCAGCTTGAATACCCTTCTGGGAGACATCCCTTTCAAAGTGGGCCAACCGCTAGAAGGCCAGTGCATGCAAGTATGTTACAGTGGGCTTTACAAGGGCTGCTGTTGCATTTCCTTGGATTCCTTTGAGAATGACACCACCAAACACAACGCCCCAAAGGGCGTGTTTGCGAAACACTAGTATGCCGCGTTCAAGCTCGTGATGGCACAACTTCAAGCACGCGCGTATGTCAAGATCGGGTGAACTGTTTACAACTCAAACGGGTGTGTCATGTAGAGGTCACACATGCACATGCACAAAGGCATTCATATGTGCCACGGCCATGGTCACCGCTGGGTGTTTTGACCATGACACATGTGATACAATACTACCCATATCCTACCGATTTACCAACGTGATGTACATTGGATTTGTTGCCGTTGGCAGGGCTCAATCCACCATTCAACTCATTGCAATTCCCCCGCGCAATGTGGCCTCACCGTCATCCACGCTGACCTTAGTCATCATGTCAAGCTGCCAAACAAGACCGGTGGCCTCGCTGCAGTCAAACAGCTTCAGGACATCACAAAGGATCCAATGGGGGCTGCAAGACAGAAAATCGTCAATTCTTGGCGATCGCAGCTTAACTCTGTCAGCACCCGCCTTGCTTGGACAACACAAGCACATCAAACACCGAACACGGAAACCGTGCTCATCTCGACCTGTATATCAACACCCTTCGCCCAAGCCCCGGCCGGACTGTCACTAAATATATACGCCAGACCGTCAACACACGCCGAGCAAAGCTACAAAGCACAAAGCACTGCAGGCCGACATTGCACGCATACATAAAGCACACACACACACACACACCCTAACACGCATAGATGGCCTTTTGAAAAAATGGATGGTCCTGGTAAATGTAATACAACCAATCTAAACCAGTGCCATCTATTTCTAGCCAAACTAACCTAAAAAGGACACCTATGCTAACATGCGGTCTGCAGTATCACTTGAGCGAGCCACTGAATTGCTGTCACTGGCCCTGACGGTTATTTCCTGGGCCCTGGAAAACAAAACGCCAAACGTATGCCTTGGTTTCGATGAGGTCCACGCCTTGGTTTCGATGAGGTCCACAACCCATCCAGGAAAGTCGATGAACCAAACACTACAATATTCAAAGCGTAGGTTGCCGAAATTCACAGCGTAGGTTGCCGAACCACATTCTACTGATGTCGCCAGTAAGTCCCTGGCAAGCCACGTGTCGCGTGCCTCCCTTGGTTCTGTCTTTTTCGGCAGCTGGCTTTGCTTCAGGGAAAAGGACAACCACGCGCTGCAGCCTTTGCTTCAAGCCATGGGCAGGCCTGGGCGCCCGGGCGGGTTTCGCGCCCAGCCCGCCCACCTCCCCCACATGGGACTCCGCAGGCATCGCACTGCTGCCCTCCACGTGAACCTCCGACAGCTCCCGAGTGAAGTACACTGTGTCAACGTCTGATTAAGAAAGGCACCAATGCTTTGTCTTGCAAGGGGGGATCCCTTTTTGCTGGGGATTTCTTTATAGCGCGAGGGCCTCGCTGAGGTTTTATTCATCAGGGGGTCTGCAAACGGAGAGACACTTCATGGGTGAGGTGGTTGCCATATCCCCAGGAGAGTTGCCTGGCAAGGCACTGCCAGATGCTCAAATTATAGAGTGCCCCGCAGTGCTGGGATAAATGCTGATCAAATCTCTGAGCTTGCATTCTTGAAGAGAGAAGCTACAAATAATCGATGTAGCTGTTTGGCCCTGGTGAATTTTACAGTTTACTCCTTCGTTCCATTGATGATGTGTATTCCTGCTTAAACTATATTCGTATAAAACGAAAGCTACCATTGCATAGTCACACGAGACGCCGGAACTGTTTAACAACTAAGCCCCAAGCGTTTGGTACCAGCACAGTCTACTCTTAGAACTCAACATTTACAACATCTGACGCAATGCTTGCAAATCATGGACAAGGTAGATAAAGGCAAGCCTGCGACTTTAGTGATTTCGACTCATTAAACCCAAGAAAAACATCAACACTCACGTGGCTCCTCAAGCACCGCTCGGACGGTCAATGCGCGCGCACAGCGATGGAAATGGCGTCACCAGCCAACAGTGACGCGTCAACGCCACGGGGCTTGCTCGAGGCTTGAACAAAGCCAACCTGGAACCAAGCACTTGGAATTGTCAGCCATGCTGTGCCAAACACCCTGCGTTTCGTTCCTTCCAAGGTCATTCAGTTTCATACAGGCCTTCACTATGAATCCCCTTGATGGGGCCGTAGAACATCTTAGTACAATGGCCAAGAGGGTATTGGGCATGGATTCTACGCGGTCATCCAAAATACGTACACCCGTGGAAAAGGCTTGCCTCATGGGCAAATTGCAGCTCGACGCAGAAGCAGTTGCTTTTCTGAGAACTTTCTGACAAGCATCCCACAGCTCACCATGCAACGAACTGGTTCTGTGACACTGCCTGGCATTCTTGTTGAGATAAAGCTTGTTGGCAAGCCTTTTGACATTGCAAGCATGACGCCCCTGACAATCAACGGAATGCAATCCCGCGCACCTCACCATCCTCATGCTGCGCCTCGCAAGCGAAATCGAGTTGCTCGAACGTCTCGAATATATGGGGCCTCATATGCAGTGAGCAAAATACAGCATGCCAACTAACATGAGGACCCTTGTGCCGTTGGTTGCGAAAGGAACAGGGCTAATCATCCATCCCTTGGGGGCTAGTTGGGAAGCACTGATATTCTGGTCAGCATCGCCTTGCAAACTTGTGCATGTTGGGATCGCGGCATAATGTTTGAGAGCAACTCCTACTACACTTGCACGGTCGCATATCACCGGCAACATCACAAATGAATCAAGGCAAAGCCTTGGGAAAGGGGGACATGCCTGCCCTGTACCTCCGCTGGACTTGCCTCCTTCAAACTAAATTCCGACTGGACAGTTGAACATTGCCCAAACAGTTGTTTCAAGCCAGGTTGACCATCGCAATCGCCTATTTTGGAAAAGCAAGCAGGAACTGGAAAAAGCAGGGATAAGGGAATCATCTCCATTCTAATGTTTGCCCCTGATTGATAAACCCAAGTAAAGATTGTCCTCTTCCCCCTCAGCCAATACTACTGCTATAGGGGCCCAAGGTTTGCCCGAAACCCGCCTAGTCCATATACCCCGGCACCCACCAAAACCCCGCCTTGGTTGGACACCCAAAATCCCAAAAGAACAAAACAAACAGCGGAATTTATAAAGGCTATTGCCAATACTTCTACCAATACTAATTGCTTTCATAGTGGAGTGCTTCCCCTTTCCGAACATCATAGCTAGCCGGAAACGTGAAGTGTCTTCATACATGCTACTTCAACTATCAAGGTTTGACCAGCAAAAAGGTTTCCCCCCCTCTGCTCAAGGCCGGTCCCCCCCAATACCCCCTGGAATAATCCTGGCACTCCTGGGATTAAGCAAAAAAGCCTATTACTGTCCTATGGGAGAAACAGGGAGGACTGAAAGGGACCAGAGAGGACCGGAGAGGATCGTGTTAATAGGGTCGGGCGTGCGGGGGGACCCTTCGAAATCTGGTTTTTCAGGACCTACCTTGGAGGGGTCGAGGGGGTAAGACAACAAAAGGGGTAGTAATCAGGGGTAAACATTAGGTGGTTTGGTACGGTCAGTCATCCAAGTCATCCCCACCTTCCCAAGCCCCTGCTTGTCTCGGGCGTTGAGTCAAGGCCACAGACAACCCTTTCCGAACATCCAAAGTGCCCGCCTTTGCTTTCTGTCACAAACATTCCACGGGGCGAGTTTGTGGCCGCCCGAACAACCGGCCCACCGCTCTAAGCTCCGGGCCATCGATTGGGCCGAAGCTGACACCTGAGCAAAGGCAAGGAAGTCGCTCGGTTTTGACGAGGCAAACAGTTTTTTGGGGGCTTCCACAGGGAGGCCGAAGGGAAACCTCCAAGAGACAACCCTGGCCCAAATGCCATATGAATTAATGTGCTCTCATAGCTTTTCGCCAGCTCCGATGAAGATGCTAGAGTTGCATTCCCTGTTTCTTTCAATATTCATGATAGTCAAATGCTGGCGTCCGTACTCGACGACAAAGGGGGTGGCTAAAGCTGAGGCATCGGCCAAAGTCTTGGCGCCAAACTGAGCTTTCATCCAACATTCATCTACCCATCCCTGCCCGCCTTCATGTCATGTCGTACATGTGAGCCCCTTGTGGATCATTTTTGGAGAATGCTGGAAGCTGCCTTGATCAGTGAGAGTTCACTAGCTGGCAAAAGGCAAAACTATGAAAGGGCTAACGCTCAAGGCAAGCGCGTACCACTCTCACTGCTGGCCGCGCATACACCAAGAACACTCCAGGTCACTTTTAAACTGGCCACGATGGCGACATGAATGCATGTGGTCGTGCTTTTTTTTTTTTTTTGGGGGGGGGGGGGTTCTTTTCTGTTTTTTCTCAAGTCAGGAAGAACAGCAGCAAGGAAGGCATTCTCTTTGACCGGAAGAGTTGAACAACAACTTGTTGTAGGGATGATGGATGCCTTTGCACAGTCCATGAGACACTGAAATTCAATACGCGGCGACTGCCTGGCTAGGGCACACAAATCCACCCCTAACTTGCTTGGTGAGTTTTAACAAGTGTCTAAACAAACAAAAACAATTGAACTCTGGTAGTTCCCGTCCTTCTTTGTTCAGAAAGGCAACATTGGGATCCTGACATTTGCCTTTGGCGCGGGCCCCGCCCTCCTCTGCCGCTTGTCCGCGCCGTTTTTTGTCGCATACCACTGGCTCAGCTTGGCGGAGCCTCCGATGGGATCGGGTCTGGGGCAGGGAATCCTCTACAGAAGCATGGCGCACAGGGTCCACTTCGGACAACGGAGCATCTGCCACTGCTTTTTGTCTCATTCTTTCGGACTATGCCATTGAATCGCTTAAAGAAATAGTGAGTTGAGGCAAACTTCCAGTGTCGCAGCGCAAGAACGGCGAGAATCGCACATCCAAAACCTCGGAACCCTCCGCCACATCTTTGGACTTTTCACAATAACAACTTCAGTCCTCAATCAAATCCGAAATCATCGATTCGAAACTCTGAACCTCTTGCAACCTAGATGGATTGTAAAGCTGTGGGCAATCATGTCCGCACACTTTTCCCATCTGCCACCCCCAAAAACTAAACAGCGCAAAGCGTGTCGCAGCAGCATATGAGTCACAATCAAAACCTGGTACAAAAATGGTCGACCCAGAATGTAAAGAACTAAGACGGCGGTCGCAGCTATTGATGGCTGGGATCTTCCCTTACCCGGGTTTTGATTGTGGCTCGTCTGATCTCAAACACAAACTGGTGTGAGCAGACTCATTTGTCTGACAACTGGGTTAGTTTTCGCAATTCGTCAACCTGAAATAATTCCGAGGGCCGAGCCTTCATCATGGGTCTTTCACAAACGTGCCGCGTGAGGTGGCCAAAACATGCTCAAATTTCTATTTGGGCGGGTCGAGCCGATCCAAGCCAGCTCGGCACCTTGAAGGCCTTCGCACATTCTGGCCATCAGCTTCTCAATTCAAGTAGGGGACTGTGCGTGATAGTGCTTGTCATCTTATTTTAACACGTCCGGTGACGTAGTCCCATCAATCAACAATGCTGAGTTTCTTGCCTTAAAGGCCGACAACACAAATCTCATCCTTTTTTGAGAGGACCTTTCCGAAAGCTTCACATGGTAGCTGCTTGCCGAGCTCTCCAAGTATGAGATTCACCACAGAACAAACACAGCATTCAACCAACCAACCTGTTTTGGGCTCAGGCGTGTACAAACAAATGATTGTTGCAATTTACTTTCTAGTTGGCATGGCCCACTATGGACAAGGTCATCGGTATCAAACACCATTGTGCCTTTTACTGCTTGGAGTCCAGGGAGGGAGAGGCTTTTACGGCAAACTTTTACGCATTCGCGCGTGCCCTAGGAACTTCTTGATTCGTCCATCCCTTCCTACAACTTACACATTCAGTGGGATATGCCATAGATCCCTCTAAGATCCTCTAAGCTCCAAACGTCTAAGAGGCTAAAGTCTAACGTTGTGTGTGCGTGCGCAGCTAGGTGGCTGTGTGTGTGTGTGAGTGCGCGTCCGCGTCCGCGTCCGCGTCTGCGTCTGCGTCTGCGTGTGCAAGGCGCCTGTTTGTGTGTGTGTGTGTGTGCGTGTACGGTCGCGCTCGTGGGTGCGTGAGTGCGTGCGTGCGGGCGGGCTGGCAGGCGGGCATGTGTGCGTGCGTGCGTGCATGGGTGTGTGTGTGTGCGGTTGCTTTTTGAGGCTGCCCATTTCACCACCCATTTTTGGGGGTCCCCGACAAATGCGCTTGCAGAAACGTCAAGGGTTAGTTTCCCACCTGGGCAGGCGCTGCCGGTGCTGCAGTTGCCGGCGTTGCGGACGCCGGTGGTGGCGCCGGCATTGCGGGGTCCGGCGCCGCAGCCGCGGGGTCTGGCGCCGCAGCCGCGGGGTCCGGTGGAGCACCTGCCAAGTGCACACGCCGCTGAGAAGCTGGAGGTATCTGGCCAAAATTGCACTACCTAAGCTGGAGCGAAGGGAACCCCCCCTCTTTAGGACTTCATGGGTGAGCATGCTTAATCAGGCCGGGTTTTGCCCCTAGGCTGGCCTCATGCCAGTCTAGGGCAACCGGCGCAAAGGACAGGATGAAACCACCAATATGTTTCCTCCGAAACCTGGTGGCATCAGCGCATTTGAGTGAACGCAGCGTTGACCACTGTTCCTTCCTGGAATGGCAGCAAACAATTGTCAGGGAACATTGAAGACTTGAATATAGCCTATTAAATGTCCATCCTCATGATCTAGACTAAATCCTGGAAGGCATCACGCGTTGTCACCAGAGGGAGCTATGGACTGTACCCAAATCCCCCATACATGCACTGCAATGTGTTTGTTCAAAAGCCAGAAGGTGTCCACATGTGGGAATGGGTCAAAATGAAACCACCAGGGGACCGAAGGTACAGCCTTGTGGGTCCCTTGTGGGCAGTCACCGTGGCATGCCTTCTTGGCCCTTGCCTTCCGCACCTTCTGCGCCTTCCGCGCCTTCTGCGCCTGCGCGCAGGCGCAGGGTCAACGGAACACCCTTCACGCTACCAGTTCCGTTTCATGACTAGAGCTTGTATGTGGGTATAATGCATGTATTTATATATTTATCTGCTAATATGCTCTACATATACTATAGTATGCTGTTCTACCCACTAACTATTCCTTTTTAGTCACTGAAAAAGGAATGGTCATTGCTGAGCACGGCCATGGTACAGCTGTCCAAAAAAAGAAAATGCGATTCAGGAGCAAACACACGTTTGTGTGTGTGTGTATGTTGTGTGTGTGTGTGTGTATGTTGCGTGTGTGTGTGTGTGTGTGTGTGTGTGTGTGTGTGTGTGTGTATGTTGCGTGTGTGTGTGTGTGTGTGTGTGTGTGTGTGTGTGTGTGTGTGTGTGTGTGTGTGTGTGTGTGTGTGTGTGTGTGTGTGTTTGTGTTTGTGTTTGTGTTTTGTGTGCGTTTGTCTTTGAGTTGTGCGTGCGTGTTTTTGTGTGTGCTTGTGTTTGCATGCCCGCATTTTGGATTGGGTTCTTGGTACTGTCTGCTTCTATTTGTGCGTCTGTTTGTGTGTGTCCTGTATGTTTGCTTTGATGCCTGCTCTTGTTTGTGTTTGTTGTGTGTGTGTGTCTAGAGAGAGGGAGAGACAGGGAGAGAGACGCACACACAACACACAAACGCCGCCACCGCCCCCCACTCACACAAACAAACAAACAAACAAACAAAAAACAGGCAAGCAAGCAAGCAAGCAAACAAACAAACACACAAACACAAGCACACACACACAGTCCAAATACACATATATGTATATATATATATACACATCGTACTATATATATATGCACACGCGAACAACAAGCACAGCCACAAGTGCACAAACCCACCCACACAACAAACATAAAGCCACAAACACACAAACACAGAGATGCGTGCACACATACACACACACACAAGATAAACACACGAACCAGAACCACAACCACAGCCGCAAATACAAACACACGCACACACACATACATCAATTCATACACAAACACCACACAAACAAAAAAACAATTACCACACCCACAAACAGCAAAACACAAACAGGTGCGCAAACACACCGAAACACCTTGACACTGACACCTACTCACACAACCATAGACAACATAACACAGACACAACACACACACCAATCACAACCACATAGAGAAACGTAAACACAAACAGAGCAAGCAACAAACAAGCAACCCCACACGCCCACAAGACACACACACACACACCACACATACCACACACACACACACCCTCACACTCACACTCACACTCACACAACACACAGACGCTGATGCAAACACAAACATATTATGCACACCAAGCAGTAACATACATACCCACAGCAAGCACACACACCAACACAACCACACACAAACACGCACTCACAAACACGAACGCACACACACACACACACACACAGAAAAACAAAAGGACACGTAACAAACACTCAGACAAAAACACGATCAAACACAGAAACAATACACACACACACTGCAGCGTGTTGGAGCTGTATGGGTTTGTGCCTGAGGCTACTCTGTTTGGAGTCATTTCTCAGGTGGAACCACAAGAAACCGTTTTAAACATGCCCGTATGGAGACCATTTGTAGCTGCTTTTGAAACCAGTCAGGCACCATACGCGGCCGATGGATTACGACACCTCCAGGCCTTGTTTCAGGCCGGGAGCCCTCCTTCCATCTACTGTAACCAGCTATAATAATGTCGTTCATGTCACTCCAGAGGCAACAAGGTCCAACCAAGCTGCATCCGAGAACAAATTCGGACACCCTAAGGATCCAAGTCTGCAAGTACCTTGCGAGGATGTCTGATAACTCCCTTCTGGCCTCTTCAGTACATGCTCACAAGGTGAGGTTGGCACTTCCCGCCTTCACCGGGTGGCATGTCCGGTGGCATGTCTGGCACCTCCCCCATGCCTTCGGCACCAGGAGGGGGGTAGTACCAGCCTTCGTCGTCGTACCAACCCTGGCCACCGCGCACTGAAGCCGAGCCAAGTTAAGCCTCTAAAGCAAAGTGGCAATGTAGGAAGTAATTAAAACTGCATAGCAAAGACTCTCATAGTTACTTTGAAGGATAGTAGAGTGCCACTACAGAACGGGAGAAGGGCGCCTTGCCGTTGGTGCATCCATGGAATCCATGCGCGACGGGTACGAGCTGCCCGCGTATTCTTGAGCATGCTTAGGAAAGAAGCGCAAACAAGTGCCAATGAACAATCGGGTCACATCATATTGAAATCAGCTTGCGATTTTCTGCCTGTCATGGATCTCACTTGTTGAACATGAAATCGTTACAATGCTGCTTTTATTCCATTCTGAACTGGCGCACAGTTGTGACACAAGTCTGACGGTCCCGTGCCTCCTCTTCTTCGGTCTCATCACCCTTCCTCGGCTTGGAACCATTCAGACTACAAAGAATTAGGCAAACACCACAGGCCAGAGGTGTAGGCTCTCCCCAAACCGCTCCTCAAAGTTAGTATACAATTCACCATACCTTGTAACTTAGGCAAGCAGGGGTACAACTGTAGAAAAGCCTAAAGCCGCTAACACGTTGTTTCGAATGGGTTTGTGTTTGACAGAGTGCCCTGTCCACCCTGGCTTTACAGTGAGAACAACATCCCTTTGGTTTTAAAGGGAAATCAAAAGGACACCTCTGTGTCCGGTCCGTGTCCACAATTGTGACACATACCAACATGTTACATTCTCTCTGTCAGCGCTTCTGCAACTCCAAGATGGCATCGGCATTGTCTGGCTGCGAGGGGTGCAGCTCCATGCAAAGTGCTTCTTAGGATGATAAGTGCGATAATTTGCCTGTCACAATCTATTTGCAATGCACTGCCTATCAAAAAGTCAACACATTTATTTTGGGCACTCTGACTTCTCTGCAGCCAAGAATCCTCTTCTTCTTTTTCTTCTTCTTCCTCTTCCCCGCAGTAAGCTTTGCCCAAGCCTCCTCCACGTGCTTGCCTTTTTCCTTGTTGACTTTCAGGTGGTCGTCTGCAGCATCAAACACGGCTTCCAGGATCCAATTCGTCGTCACCATCTTTGTGAAGACACGGACGTAAATAATCTTTGTGAGAGCCTTAATCAATTGGAGCGGATCTTGCCTCAGATAGGTAGAGAGACGCGACATCTCTCTTGACCATTGCCAATGGCACACTCGACAAGGACGTGTTTCAGTCACAGTGCTCATCAACATCAAGGTTGGCAAGCACATAGTGCAAACATGCCCCAAGAGCATGCCACCACCCCCGAGCCAAGCACGTTTGAAAGCGTTTTGATTGCCAAGGTTGCAATTTCTTGACGGCCGCGTCCCTTGCACCGCTGGTGTCAATGGTCACGCTCATCCGCGTAGCATACATCGTGTAGAGGGTGTGCGCGACAAACAACCCAAATGCTGCCAGCAGACACATCTTCTTCTGCTTCTTGACCTGATGGAACAAAAACTACACCGTATTCTGGGAGACGCTCTGTGCAAAAATCCGAAAGCTCAATCCAGCCAAATCTGGGCTGGCGCCTTCCGTACCTAAAGAATAAGATAAATCTGACACCGTATACCAACTCATGTCCAAGCCTTGTTGAGGCTCGCGCAACAGTCTCGGCGGGGTAACCTTGACACTCAAACCCGAGTACTTGACGGGCGTTTGTGCGGCAGGCCAGGAGCGCTTTGATTGGCCGAGGCACATTAGCGGTTGGGCAAGAAAGATCGTTGCGATTGGATTCGAAGGGGCTTGCCACTTCTCTTTCTTCTGGCTGTATCGCAGTGAGAGTTTCCGGAACACTGCTGGGGTGTGTGGTCAGCGTGCATGCGGGGCCCACTTTAAGGAAGGCATCAAGAAACAGACAACACAGGGCTGGTTTTGGCCTGCTTGCCGCACATTTTTCGTTGGCGGCTTGAGCATGACGAGGGAGGCTGTGCTTGAAGTCGTTACACGCGAACGGCTAAGCGGAGCTGGCAGCGCTCAATCATTGATGCCCCCCTTCAAGGTTAGGACAGGATCGTGTGGAAATGGCGTTGTCCAAATTCCAGGTGGGGATCAAGAACTATGCACCGATGGCAATGCATGTCGTGCCCCTGACTTGTGAGGGCATTGTATGACCACAACCTTAGAATATCTGCATGCGGCGGGATTGGACCATGGTTGATGCAGGGTCGGAACACGATTTGTGACACATGATTTCTGGGCCAGCGTTTTTGGACTGATGCATCATCAACAAAATCGTCAGCACCAATCAGTGCCAATCAGTCTGAAACAAATTGCACACTTAGTTCAGTGTGACAGCTGAGCGGCATGCCGGAAAAATGACCAGCAGTCTCGTGTGAGACGAGGCCATTGTACACAAGCAAGTGTCACACCTTATAAAGCTCAGCCTGGGGCCCATCCCTTCAAACTTCATTTCAACCTTCAAACTAATCAATCCGAAGCGAACGTATTGGCATCTGAACCACTAAGACACGCAATCAACATCAAGGGGGCCGTACCCACCTAACCTGGCCCACAAAAACCACCCACTTTCACCCAGCAAAGTCAAGTCTGCAAGCAAAACCAGCCATACCGCTTGCCGGGTGGCTCTGTCAACAGCCTTCTCCAGCTTCTTGCGACTCCTCATCCAGAAAGCCCACGTCAAATTGGGCCCAGGACTAACATGGAAACCAAACGGATCTAAGGGAAGTGCGATGTCACTCATCTTTAGCACCACGCAAGTATACAAAGAACAGCATTCCAACAGGGAATTCCACATGCACCTTCTGGCAAGCTCAATTAATCTCTGGTCGGTGAGTTGCATTATGTTCATACTGATACTGCTCCTAGCTTTTGTCCCACTGTAGTTCATTTGTTCAGGGACCGCCGCTATGCATTCTCTGTGAGTGGAAAGCATCAGGCGGAGTGAGGCAAGAAGCATTGGCCTGGCTCTTGCGCTATTGCGCTGCAGTCAAACAGTGGAACCTTTGCAGACTTTCGTGGGATTGACCAATGTTTTGCGTGTTTCCCTTTGCTCACGAAAACTTCTACATATTTCTGGCAGAACAAACATATGTTTCACGTTGCTTGCAAAGCCTTCAACGGACATTCAGGCGGCTGGCTTTTAACTACGTACGGCTTCCTTTATGCACACCACTTGCGCATGACTATTCACCTCTCCTTCATAATGGCAATGCCCCCTCACTATAAATATTCCCTCGGGACACATTCATAAAGGACTTTTCAGGGGGTCTCGAATATTTCTGCATTGGTCCTTGCCTACATAGGGGCAATGGAGTACCCCTTTGCCAGGTTCAAACCATGAAACTCACAAGATCCCATGACGAATGGCAGAAGAATGGGGTGGTTCGAGAGAATGGGCTGCATGAAAGAGGTTTGGGAGGGGAGGGCTGCGGAAACAAGGGTCGGAGCCCCTAACTTTGGGCTACGGGCATGTACGAGGGCCGACTTGTAGACTTGTTTACTAGGGCCTATGAATGCGACGGTGTCAGTGATGGTAGGGGAATGAAATTGCCGTAGCCAAGCAACTAGCAAATTCACCAGGTAAACAAGCAAAGTCTAGATAAACTGGCAAACATGCCAAACCAACAGATTCTCTGCCGACCTCAACTGTCACTGTCATATGAACGATTCTGATTCTGCGTTCTTTTCTAATTGGAGGGCTCCCTCCGTTAAGTCCCGACTAATTGCGATTGCTAGGGGGGGTTCAGGTGTGCAACCCAATTTCCAGGAGTGACAGTCAATTTCTAGGAGTTTTACCTCAAAAACTCGGAGTTTGACAACTCTGCGAATTTTTGTTAAGACCTTCAAACAAGTGGTAGTCTGGGAATTGTACGAAAATGCCCATTCCTTGAAAGATCCAGGCTGCTTCACATTTAGTCGACCATGAAACCCACATATTTTCTGAGACAGCTGAGGTGCTTTATGTCGATGCCGATCTCACCAATGTAGAAGTCCAGGGCGCGCCAGACCGCCAAGCAGCACATGCTCAGACTCAGGAAGGGGCTGCCACCGATCTGGGAGAAAAAGACCAGGACGAACAAGATACCTGACCGAAGGGGACTCTGCTCTTCTGCTTGTCGCACGGAAATAAAGAAACTAGTGCAACATTGAGCTCCGTATTGCATCGATCTTTGAGGTCAGAAGCCGACTGAATCGATGTACGGGTCAGTTTGCGTAGTTTCCTTTCAGTCATGCCACTTCAATATGAGCGCAAGTTTCCATTTTCACCAGGAGCCGGCCTGCATGCGTAGGAAACTGGCGCTTCAAAAGCCAAACATCTGCGATTCCCGTGCGAGAGCACCACTGATGTCACGGTGACTTGTGACGTGATTACTTTCATAGTCATCCTTGCAACAACTGACCAAAATCCAAAGGGGTCTATGACAAACCCTCTGCCTCCGGCGCTTTGCGCACCACCTGCTACCATTGATAGAGAGAGACACGGCGCCGTGCGCTGACTGCTCAGAGGACAGGCCTGTAGACGGGCGACTACTGCTGCTACCGTCGGAACACATAGACCAAAATAAGAGCCAGCGTTGATACAGTGCTGTGTAGGCTGTATTCATTCTACTTTTAGTGCTTTCGCCACGTTTTGCTCGCGCGATGAGCCCTCGGCAGGCATCGCACGCCTCGAAGCGCTCTCACTGCGGCGCCGTGCAAAATCTAAAAGTGTCCGATGAACCCTCTGCAACGATTGCGAAGCGCCCTCGCTGCGAGGCCGTGCAATTTTGCAAGTGAACCCTCCACGCGCTCTTAGTCTGGCGCCGTGCGAATTCATAATAAAGTCCCCAATGAGCCCTGCAAGGAGTGCGTGTGTCAACGTGCCCTCGCCGTGACGAGGTGTGAGTTTCAAAAGTGCCCGATGAGCCCTTGCGGGAATCACTAACTCGAAAACCGCCGGACAAACCTTCTGCGCAAACACCGCGTTGACATAGAAACCATGCCGCGCACCACACTGACAGGAGTGCAGGCGTCTTTGCGTGCGAAGACGTGTGCGTGCATGTTCTGCCATTCGCGTGCGAGCAGGTGTGCAAGCACGCCGCCAAACGTGTGCTCGTGTGGTGCGTATACGTGTTTGCATGTATGCTTGCGTGTGCACGTGTGCGTGCGCAAGTGCGTGCCTGCGTGTGTGTGTGTGTGTGGGTGGGTGTGCGTGTGCAAGTGCGTGTGTGTGTGTGTGTGTGGGTCCGTGCGTGCATGCGTGCGTGCGTGCGTGGACGTGGACGTGGACGTGGACGTGGACGTGGACGTGGACGTGGACGTGGACGTGGACGTGGACGTGGACGTGGACGTGGACGTGGACGTGGACGTGGACGTGGACGTGTGTGTGTGTGTGTGTGTGTGTTTGTGATTGTGATTGTGTTTGTTTGTTTGTCTGTTTGTGTTGTGCGTGTGGGTGTTTGCATGATTTGTGTGTGTGTGTGTGTGTGCGTGTGTTTGTATATGCGCGCGCGCCCATTCGCACGCCTGAGTGCAAAGTGAAATCCAACCGCAATTTGCTAGTACCGCAATGATTTACAACCTGTGAAAAGACCTTTCATCAAGAGACTACATGATCCAATGCATCATTGTCACACTGTGTTCAGAGGGGTATCGTTTCAGTCGCCTATCGTTCTTCCAGGACACCGCAAAAGCACAGTTTTGAATGAAACGCCTTTCCTAAAGTGGTCTATGATACTTCTGAAGTTGCCTCATATGATGACAATCCTACCCCAGGTCATGCACAGGTAGGTGCCATTTGCTTCAATGCGATGAGAAAAAAAACAGAATGGAATCACTTGGGGAGATGCCCAAGTATTGGAATGCGGAAGCTTGGAGGTTGTTCCAAAGCCTGACTTTTCAGAGGGTGAATCTCATAGAGATGTCCATGTGATGAGACACTTGCCACGATGTTCCGGAAACAAACAGGGCGAGCTCATGCGCTTCCAACAGAAAGAAACATGGGTATGGTTGGGGAGAACATTTTCTGATTCATTCCAAGCAGCCTACATCCAACGTCTCAGTCCAACAGGTGCCGTCTGAGCGATTTGGCAGTTCTTCATGCAATCAAATCCTTCATATTCATTCCAGTGCCAGGCAAACTGTTCCCAATGCTACTTCCGGTTCGGAAACCGACATGTCGCTGAAATCTAAAACTGTAACCAACGAGTTCGCAAGTTTTACAAACTAGGCCTTCCATGGCTTTAGACGAGGCCCAGTTGCCAAACTCGAATCCAGTGCAAATTCGCCTCGGCCCCAAAGGGGCCAAGGGCGCTCAGATCTCTTCTCCAAAGAGAATCTTCGCTTTTCCCCTCCCCCAACCCCCAAAATTTTGCTGGGCCGCCCCCACCCCCCCCCACCCATGTCGGCTGGCCCAAAATCCTGTCCGGCGGGCCTTGAAATTTTCTGGGTTCGTCGGCGTCCAGCTCCATGGGTCCATTTTTGTTGAAAATGTGCTGAGAATTGTGAAAATCACTAAAAAATGCTTTTTTGTCCTGAAAAGCATGACCTGCTGCTGGCCAGGCCTGTCTGACGTGTCTGAGACTAGGCTCAGGCCCAGCCCAACCAGCAACCCGCCTGCTGGCCAGGCCTGTCAGCCCAGCCACCCCAGCCTCAGGCCCAAGCTTGTCTGGCAACCCGCCCAAGCACGGCCCTAAGTCACCCAGCCCATCTGAGACTCGCCTCAGGCCAACGACCAGTCTCACGTGTCTGAGACTGGTCTCAAGCTACGCCAGCTACTAAGCCTGTCTGACGTGCCCCAGCCCCTCAGTCCGGTCAGCCCAGGCCGACCTCCTGCTCGCGTCTGGCCCCAAGTCATCCAGCAGGCCCAGCCCCTTCGGCGCAGTCTGAAACACTCTCAAAGTATGCCAGCCTGAGACTAGCCTCAGGCTCAGCCCGCCTGCTGTTCCGCCCAGGCCCCGGCGCATCTCAGGCATGCCAGCCACTAGGCCGGCCCCCAGCCCACCAGCAGGCTCAGCCCAGCGTGCCAAGGTCAGGCCGAGAGCTACGAAGCCTGTCTGACGCCCCTCAGTCCGGCTGCCCAAGCAGCTCAGCCCAGGCTGGCCAGGCCTTGACCTCCTGCTCGCATCTGGCCCCAAGTCATCCAGCAGCCCCAGCCTTTTTGGCGCAGTCTGAGACTGGTCTCAAAGTATTCCAGCCTCAGACTAGCCTCAGGCCCAGTCCCTCAGCCCGCCTGCTGGCGTGTCTTACGTGTCTGCGACTGGCCTCAGGCCCAGCCCAGCCAGCAACTCGCCACCCAGCCTATGAAACAGGCCTTGCCCATCCAGCAACCCGCCCAAGCACAGCTCAGCCCAGCCCGCCCAGCCCAAGTTCCGCAGCGTAGTCCGGCTGCCCGGCAGCTTCGCAGCCTCGTGGCTGAGACTAGCTTCAGGCCCAGCTCAGCCCAGCCTGCCAGCCACTAGGCCGGCCCCCAGTTTGTCTAACGTGTCTGAGACTGGCCTCAGGCCAACAACCAGTCTCAGCTATGCCAGCTACCAAGCCTGTCTGACGTGCCCCAGCCCCCCAGTCCGGCTGCCCAAGCAGCTCTGACCAGGCCTTGACCTCCTGCTCGTCTGGCCCCAAGTCATCCGCCCAGCCCCTTCGGCGTCTCAAGGTATGCCAGCCTGAGACTAGCCTCAGGCCCAGTCCCTCAGCCCGCCTGCTGGCGTGTCTATTGGGGATATTTTCCGGGGTACTCAAGCAAATGGAAAATGGAGGTTTGTATTCCCACCATGTACCTGTCTTGGGCTGAGCAACCGAGCAAGAAATGTATGTCATGGCACGCCGCCAGCCACGTGAAATGGAGGTGCCCAAACACCCAAAGTTGGTCTTGGTTGTTCAGTGACACCAATTATTGTTCCCCTTTTTATGGAGGCCAAGCCCCACTAAAAATGCTCATCCCCAGAAAGAGGTCCTTTTTTTTCCAAGGGCACTGAGCAGCTGAGATAGTCTTGGTTTTGGATTTCAAACCTTCCGAGCAGGACGGCTTCCGAACATCGAACTAGCACGGGCGAACTGGTGCGGTCACAAGCTTTCAGTAGGATTCGGACCTTCCCAACACTGGATTTCGGTGTTCCTGACCCTTCCCTCAAACTAGGCTGGGCCGAGGCGGGCAACGCGAAGCGTTTACAATTACTTCCGCATAAAGGCCATTGCATCCATGACAAGTTTCACAAGCTCCCGCCTGGTAGGGTTACGAAGACCGTAATGGACTGCAAGTACCCGGGCAGACATGATCCTAAGCTGCTGAGCGCCTGCATGCCAGTGTTCGGACTGGCTTTTAACCAGGCCCTCAAGCTGAAGCAATCTGTAGCCCATTTGATCCTGACGTGGCATAACATACTCAAACAGCGTCTGCCGCGAGGCTCTCGAGGGCCTGAGACTTTGTACTGGAGGGATCCGAAGGGAAACAAGCAACCCATGTCTCGAGACGAGGGTAGTGTGTTTCATCAGCAAGTCGACCAGCCACTGCTCCCCCTCCCCCAGCTTTCCAAGCTTTGGCAAAAGGGAAGCGTTGCGGCATACATGCCCTCCTCAAGACATGGAGCTTGACAAGTAGGGGCTTGGCCTGCAGGCCGCGTATGAGAGTTCCCCGCAAAGATGCTTCGAAATGCTTGGTGTCCTACCCATTTTTAGCACACGTTCTAGTGCCGCAACTTGAACGCGTTGTTCCGTTCGTTCCAAGGATGCCCTCTCAGCGGCAAACGAAGACCAAAAACGGAGTATCCCACCCCAAATAGGTTTGTCTCACAAATGACCCAACCCGGCTGAAAACCGTTAACTCACACTCACAGCAAGATAAAGGTCACCTTTTTGTGGTCCTGAAAACTTAAAGGGAGCCCCCCCTCCAAAACGAAAGGACGGGGGGGGCACCAATGGGCGCCGTTCCGCCCAGGCGCGGTAAAGCACCGCTTTCACGTTCTCTACGCCCGCGGCGAGGCCGTCCACCACCCCGATGATCAGCGAGGCCAATGGCAGGCTGTAGTTCACCGCGCAGTACATGCCTCGATTCTCAGGCGACTCAGGTCATTCAACTCAAGTGATCCGTTCAGATAATTCGTTCAGGTGATTCAACTCAGGTGATTCAAGGTGATTGGTTCGGGTGATTCAACTCAGGTGATTCAAGGTGATTGGTTCGGGTGATTCAACTCAGCTGATTCAACCCAGCCGATTCAACTCAGGTGACGCAACTCAGGTGGTTCCTTCGGGTGATTCAACTGGAATTCTTGGCAAATCTAATCACAGGAGGTCAAAGGAAATGGTAAATTATAGTTGGAACTTGGAATTCTGGGCAACTTACAAGAGGCAAAAAGCCGCGGCGAATTGCAGTAGTTCACAAATCTGAAATTGGGAAGCACCAAGGAAGCAGCATTAATCCTAAGCTTCGCTGCAACATTTGGTCAGACCGCAAGCAAAATTCGCCTCGGCCCCAAAGGGGCCAAGGGCGCTCAGATCTCTTCTCCAAAGAGAATCTTCGCTTTTCCCCTCCCCCAACCCCCTCCCCAACCAAAATTTTGCCGGGCCGCCAAAATCCTGTCCGGCGGGCCTTGAAATTTTCGGGGTTCGTCGGCGTCCAGCTCCATGGGTCCATTTTTGTCGAAAATGTGCTGACAATTGACGAAAATCACTAAAAAATGCTTTTTTGTCCAACCGCCCAAGCACGGCCCCAAGTCATCCAGCAAGCCCAGCCCAGCCCAGCCCACTAGGCCGGCCCACGAGCAGGCTCAGCGGTTTGTCTAACGTCTGAGACTGGCCTCAGGCCAACAACCGTCTCACGTGTCTGAGACTGGTCTCAAGCTACGCCAGCTACTAAGCCTGTCTGACGTGCCCCAGCCCCTCAGTCCGGCTAAGCAACTCAGCCCTTCCTGCTCGCGTCTGGCCCCCAGACCCAGCCTGTTTGGCGCAGTCTGACACTGGTCTCCAAACTAGCCTCAGGCCCAGTCCCTCAGCCCGCCTGCTGGCGTCTTACGTGTCTGTGACTGGCCTCAGGCCCAGCCCAGCCAGCAACTCGCCACCCAGCCTCAGGCCCAAGTGTGTATGAAACAGCCATCCAGCAACCCGCCCAAGCACAGCTCAGCCCAGCCCGTAGTCGCTGCCCGCCAGCAACCCACCCTGCCCAGCCCAGGGTCCGGCGCATCTCAGGCATGCCAGCCACCAGGCCGGCCCCCAGCTCCCAGCCCACCAGCAGGCCAGCGTGCCAAGGTCAACACGTGTCTGAGACTGGTCTCAAGCTATGCCAGCTACTGTCTGACGTGCCCTCAGTCCGGCTGCCCAAGCAGCTCAGCCCAGGCTTGGCCTCCTGCTCGCGTCTGGCCCCAAGTCATCCAGCAGCCCCAGCCCCTTCGGCCCAGTCTGAGACTGGTCTGAAAGTATGCCGCTAGCCTCCAGCCCGCCTGCTGGCGTGTCTTACGTGTCTGCGACTGGCCTCACAGCCCAGCCAGCAACTCGACCCAGCCTCAGGCCCAAGTGTGTATGAAACAGGCCTTGCCCATCCAGCAACCCGCCCAAGCACAGCTCAGCCCAGCCCGCCCAGCCCAAGTTCCAGGCGCAACCAGCAGCGTAGTCCGGCTGCCCGGCAGCCAGCAACCCACCCATGGCTTCGCAGCCTCGTGGCTGAGACTAGCTTCAGGCCCAGCCCAACCAGCAACCCACCCCAGCCCAGCCTGCCCAGCCGAGGCCCCGGCGCATCTGAGTGAGGGCATGCCAGCCACTAGGCCGGCCCCCAGCTCCCAGCCCACCAGCAGGCTCAGCCCAGGCCAACGACCAGTCTCACGTGTCTGGGACTGGTCTCAAGCTACGCCAGCTACCAAGCCTGTCTGACGTGCCCCAGCCCCCCAGTCCGGCTGCCCAAGCAGGCTGACCAGGCCTTGACCTCCCCCCAAGCCATCCCTTCGGCGTCTCAAGGTATGCCAGCCTGAGACTAGCCTCAGGCCCAGTCCCTCAGCCCGCCTGCTGGCGTTGGGGATATTTTTCCGGGGTACTTAAGCAAATGGAGGTTTGTATTCCCACCATGTACCTGTCTTGGGCTGAGCAACCGAGCAAGAAATGTATGTCATGGCAAGCCGCCAGCCACGTGAAATGGAGGTGCCCAAACACCCAAAGTTGGTCTTGGTTGTTCAGTGACACCAATTATTGTTCCCCTTTGTATGGAGGACAAGCCCCACTAAAAATGCTCATCCCCAGAAAGAGGTCCTTTTTTTTCCAAGGGCACTGAGCAGCTGAGATAGTCTTGGTTTTGGATTTCAAACCTTCCGAGCAGGACGGCTTCCGAACATCGAACTAGCACGGGCGAACTGGTGCGGTCACAAGCTTTCAGTAGGATTCGGACCTTCCCAACACTGGATTTCGGTGTTCCTGACCCTTCCCGCAAACTAGGCTGGGCCGAGGCGGGCAACGCGAAGCGTTTACAATTATTGCTGAAATTCGATGGATTTGCTGTTTGCAAAACAGATTGGGCCTGGAAATGAAACATGTCAACCATGAAAGCGCGTCGAAAGGCTTCTTTGTTTGAATACAAGCATGCCGGGTTTGTGCTACTTAGCAACCAGCTGAAATGTATTTATTGTTCACCAACATCCAAGTCGCGATGAGCGAACCGAAACTAAGCAAGGTAACGAAGAGACACACGAGGCACCTGTTCAACAAAACACGCGCGACTTGTCTCACCTAGTTGCCCACTGGCCACGTGCGAAAACGGATACTGCTTTTGCTTCATACGCGTGGGGAACCTTCGGGAAAGCCAGAACACCATTAGCACACAAGCAGCACAATTGCATGAACCTCAAGCATCGGCCGAAACATAGGGACTCGATTCTCAGCGTAATGTCTGAATAAGCTCACTGCTGAGGACGGGTTGATCCCATGCCCCTGCTGAAAGGTCTGCTGACACATCAATCTGCTTCATCATGACGTGGCAGGCAGTATCTCAACAGCAGCTGGATTTGAGTGCACTTGCATAAATGGCATAACTAGGAGTCACGTTTATCCTGAGTACTCCTTGTACCGCATGAATAGAACGCTAAAGCTGCTGCTCCATGCTCAGCTCGCAGCAGTCGACATGGAGCTGTCATGTTTTGGGTACCCGTTTTGCCATTTGCAGCACCCATCCCAGAACCCATATCGAGTCCCAAGTATGGCAAGTCTTTCTTTGTCATGATAGGCGGTATCGTCTTCATTTTCATTTGATCAAATGTCATTCTTTCATACTCTTTCTACGTGCTCGCTCATTTAAGCTGCATGCTGAACCAAATCAACCCTTTGACCCCGTTTGCCAAGCATGGCAGGGGGACAGCACGCCTGTTGCTGAAACCATGTTGCAAGACTCCGGGTAGACATCTCCTTGAAGCAACACCCCACTCAATAGATACTCACCAAATACATGGTCCCATCGGGATGATTTGATGTCTTTTAATTCAATTCAACGGCACTTTCACAGGCAATATAGATTTATCTCACTTCTGGCTGAGACAGTTGAGCTGTAGTGCTGACAGCTGTTGTGACCAGGATGTAGCAAAACGCGCACATCTTCATCGCAGCGATGACCAGCGCCTTGAAGGTGCAAGTGGCCTAGGCGTCAATTTTTTGTCGCGTTTGTCCGCGAAATGAAAACATGAGATATTCTGATTGCCAGTATTGCGTCTCGCTTATAGGACCTATCAGAAGATAGATGGGACAAACACTAGTAACCCTTGGACTTTTCCTCATTTGAGGAGAGCCCAACACATAGGTTGACTTAAACTCGGAGGACTACGACTCCAGCACGTTTGCGCCTAACAAACGTGTATCTATCTATACAGATATGTTATGCACATGGGACAGGTGGCGTATGATGGACTAGATGCGAAAACACGTCGCATGCACACTCTTAGACACACACACACACATTCTGAAGGAAAGTGTATGCATGGCACAAAGGTCAACATGGACTGGAAGAAAGCCGACTGCTGTCCTCATTGTACAAGTAAGTCGCATGTGCAGCGGGATGTATGGTGGGTGCAAGATTCATGGCAGAAGTAGACCAGGTCACAATGTCCACGATCGCAGGATCTGGCGATCCTCTTTTGTCAACTGATGTCAACTTCGCTCCGATCCCAGGAAAAATGTGACAATCAACTTGGGCAGCCAAATCGACAATTGAGTATCCTGACCCGGCAACAATGGCTGGAAGCGATATTGGCAACATGTGACGCCGATCTAGATGGGGAAAAAGCACAAGAGCACACAAAGCCCTGAGAAAACAGTTCACTGGTTCAGCAAAAACTGGAAGTGCAGCCTGGCCTGTCATTCTCGCTTCCCGGTCCACGTGAGGAAACCACAAATCTCCAGAGGTGTAGCAGTCATGATCAAATCTTCACTGAAATAATCTCTGAAGCACATGCGAATGCAGCATGCCCAGGTAATTTTATGAGTCGTGAGGCGGAAAAAACACCGACTCCGAACAGTCACACCTGAAGGGGCAGAATGTCTGATGGCCGTCCCCAGCCCAAGCGAGGGAGTCTTGAGCAGCTCCAGCGACTTCTCGCCCATAGCGTGCGCTACCAAGCATGGCCATGCCCATCTTAAGCGGCCGTCCTGTTCCATTCGTGCAAAAGGTGAAGCGGAACGATACAAAGAAGTCCAGGGGTCACCCACCTCCAGACATGTTCCGCCATTTCCCCTCATTGCCTCAAAGGCGGACCCAAAATAACATATGATTGGGTGGTCCGGTCGCAAAACGTGCAATGCTGACAGCCTCCCTTCCCCCCTTTCTTGCCAAGGTTGCTCGTTTGCCGAGGCCGCCCGCCATGGCCCCCATGTCAGGACCGCCCATCTCAAGGAACTGAGCCTGCAAAGCACCCAAATGGAATGATGGCTGCGTGGATCCTGTTCGACCCAAAGCTTTCACAAGGAAAGTACCAAAGAAGCAGGCTCTTACTATCTCTTGCTCCCATCCAGCGGACAGGCTGCGAGTCGGGCGCGAAATTCGTGCGGCGTGATGTGGGATCGGGCGGCTCTGTCTCGGAATTCAGGCGTCGCGGAATGTGGAGTCGGGCGCAACGGAGGCGGAAACGACAAGGGCCAGCCAAGGTCATGAAGCAGCCAATCAACCCGAACAACGCTCAAGCAGACGGACACGGCCGAGCTGGTCGAGCCAACCCAGATCCAAGCCAAGCAAGGCAACCACCACGACCAAACCAACCACGCGACCGAGTCAACCAAGACGAACAGGTCGACCAACACGACAAGACCAACAAGACCAACCAAACCGACCACGCCCAAAGCGATCCAGCCAACCAGACCAACCAACACGACCAAACTGGCCAACACGAGCAAACCGACCAACACAACCAAGTCAGAATGATGAGGAGTGGACGGGAATGGGCGGGTAAAGGTGGGAGAGGACGGGAACGGATGCGAATGGACAGGAATGGACCGGATAAAGCAGAATGGATGGGAGTGGGCGGGACTCGACGGAAGTGGGCGACTCGACGGAAATGGGCGGGAGCGGAAAGGGACGGGTGGGAATGGCTGGGTGGGTGGGGCATGAGGGTAGGACAAGCCCTCCTGGCAGAGTCTAAGTCAGTTGCGTGTTCGTCCCACCATATCCTAGGAAAGGCGATGCACAGGAGGAGCGAGAATCCAAGGTCATAACTACGGCGTGTTAAGACTCCAAGGCAGCGAGAGGAAGGAAGAAGGACGAATGGGAATGGACAGGGGATCGGAGCTGCTGTCTGTGTCTTGGTAGGTGCTTCACCCACGCCACGATGGAATGCGAAGTGGCCTTGCAAACAGTTGTTCAAATCTCCCCTGCCAATTCCATCAGATGACTCCTGTGCGGCACCTTTGTGTCTGCCATTCATCGGGAACTGCTCACTTGTCTAAAGTTCCTAAGTAAGAAATAGCCAGCGGGACCATGACATTGACCAAGCCTAGGAGCCAATCATCTGGGGTCTCCTGCCCGGGGGGTCAGCACCTGAATGATTTGAGTGGAATCTCTGGCTATGGCAGCCGTTGTTGGTCCCCAATCCGGGTCAAAGAGAAAGGCTCAGACATCATCTCAGCGAGGTTCTCTTTTCCATGAGCCAAACGTAGATTCCACACCCACATGCTGAAAAGAATCAAGACCCGCTCCGCAGGACATGACAAACTTGGCAAACACATTCCGGGGCACAACCTGCAAGCGACATGCGCCTCCGCCTCCAGCCTTCCCGCTGCATCCACGGCTGCGGACCCGCGCCTGCCATGCACACGCTGGGGCGAGGAACTGTCAGTAAGTTTGTGACTGGACAACTAGCAAACAGCACAGGAAAAAAAACAACGCAGGAGAAAATACAAGAGGATGACACGATATGATTAACTACGTGCCAGCCAACTGTGAAGTGAAACACGCAGTCAGGGCAGAAGAAACATATATTGCAAATTATGCACGGAACACGACATGCCTAACCACCGCAAGAAGCAGAAGCTAGCCAAACCATGAAAACATGCACAGCCAGTATTTAGGAAGGAAAACGACAAACATATTTGAGCCTCAATTACTCAGAAACTGCCACAAATGCAAATAAAGGCCTGCTCGTGTTCTCAAGAGCCTACCTGCCGAGTCCGATGTCTTCCGTATCTCGTTTCCTCTGGAGGCTCGATGCGCATGCCTCATGAACTTCCCGCGGCTTGGCTTGCTCGACAAGTGGAAGTGATCCTCAGGCGATTGCAGACTGCCAAAGGATCGGAACGGACCACAGCATTTTGCTTGGTCTCCGATTGCAACGGCACTGCAAGTTGGACTTCTGGCATGTGGCATGTTTCTTTTGTCCTTTGCTCACTTGCTGCTTTGAGAGGGCTGGATCAAAGCCTGGCAACTGTCGTCCTGGCTCAACCAAGCAAATAAACAAACGGCCAAAGTACCTTCATAATCCCGTAAACTGAGTTCGCACAGCCACGCCCCTGCAAAAAGGTGTAAACTCAGCAACTTCCCTGGGAGTCCATCAAGCAAAAACCAGCCATGTGGATCCAAGCGATCCATTTGACTAGCGCTCGAGCATTCTAATGGAAGCCTTGGCAAGTAGAATCAGCGACAAGTTTCTTTGCATGTGCCACTAATAGCAATTTTGTTGTCGTGCTGCCAAACTGCAAAAGCATTCCACCACCATTCAGAACTGTGATTCAAGTGGAAATCCTTCGCACAGGGCCGCAAGGAACAAACAAACAACTTAAACGACCCGATCCTAAAGCCAGGATGCGATGTGGCAACGAACACACAGCAACCATGCCGCAAGACAGAGGCTACACACAAAGGAAAATACCTGGAGATACACAGCACACAGGAGGCACAAAGCAAAACGGGTTGCGAGTAGAAAGGTGACGTCCAAGTACTACCCGCAGACCACGACCCAACCAAAACCTAGACCGAATTCCAAACGGCCTCACTGATCCAGCTGACGGCCATGCAACGGCACACCGGGCAAAGGAAAAATCACAGCGTTGGTCGCAGACATGAATACGGACATGGCAAAACACAAGGATTCACGGCAACTCAAACTGCCCTAGCAACAAACATAGAATGCTCCGGAATTCTGGTTTGGCCAATTCCCCCCAAATTTCTATGCTCCCCCAATAGATAGGTGATCCCATCTGCAACAGTGCTTTTGGCTGGCTTCCTCACATGTCCGAATAAGCAACACTCAACAGTGATTGCTCGAGGCTACATGGCTCATACTTTCAGCTTTCAGGTTCGTTCATCAAAATCCAAATGAAAGTTGGGGCAAGCGCCGTCAATTACTAAGAAAACTGATGACCAAAACAGATCATTGAAACTTGCGCACGTGCCTTCAACTCTCTGGATACCATGTTGTGAATGCTATGCCAAGCTAACACTGCCTTTCCTCTCACGCACTCCTTCCTTGCCTAGGAGCGAATTGCAAGTGTGTTGACAAACATGGCACCTTTTTCTGAACAAAGAGATGTGACTGCTGGCAACACAAACAAAACACAAGCTCAGGTGATATCCCCAACAGCATGCGGTGCTCTTGTTTAGCGCTCGCACCACCCCGCAGCCCTCGCAGAACCTGGTGGAACCCTGGTGGAACCCTGGTGGAACCCTGATGAACCCTGGTGGAACCCTCGTATAACCTTACCTCAGGCCACCCCGGAGCCTATCTGGGCTGAGACCCCAAAGAATCCAGCTGTTGGGGAATGATATGGACATGCATCCCAGAAAAGATAGTCTTTGCATGACATCATACGTAATTCCTGTCATGCAGCGCAGCGTTCGCCAATTCAAGCATCCCTTGACCGAGGAGCAGGTAGCGGCCACACGAACTCGGCACCAGGAAGATGCTGAAACGTAGATTTGCCTTGAGAGCGTGCAAAGGCGATTTCTGCAGTGATATGCATTTGGACCATGAGCAAAACAAAAAGCACATTTCAGGACCCCTTGAGAACCGCGCTATCCCCTATGGAAAAGCAGGGACCATGGCAGGGGTTTTGCTCAAGCTGCAAATGCGGTTCGGAAAGCCTCACAAGCTCATTTTATGGGTATGTGTGAAAACAAGGGACCCTCCAAACGGTCACTTTTCATGTGGAGCTTTTTTTGATCGGTGGCCGTGTGGGGGGTTGGCATGCCGCACGAGGAAGGAAACCAATGCTGTTGCTTCATCACTGGACAGTAGCGAGATCCCCATGACGCTCGGTCTTTGTGCCTCCTGGACCATCTGACTGTGCCCGCGTTTTTGATACGACACACAAAACAAAAGAACGCGTAGGGAGCCATAGGGGAGCAACCTGTGCTGCTGAACTGCTCTGCTGACTCTGCAAGAGGTGCTCAAATGTGCTCAAATGTGCTCAACATTCCAGCATGTGGGCGTTCTTGCCAGTGAAAGCGTGGCCTTGCTGCTAGGTAATGACATTCCTCCAAAACAAGGCAAGGGTATGCACATGCAGACCTGAGGCAGCTTGGGTCTGACACTTGAGCTCTAGCAAGTACACGGTACACGGATTCAATTCAACCTTCTCCAAGAAAGAGCCATCACCCCAAATGAGCTCACCACAAAACGCAGGCCTAGATCTGCAGTGAAATACAGCCTTCTCCCTCAGTAGATTGAACCGGCACCCTTAGGTGAATGGCCCGCCTTCACTGCGTTTGCCTGTCACTGGAGTCTCCCCAGTGGCAGCTGAGTTGCTAACGTCAGCGGCTTCCTTCAGTGCCGACCTGGCCACCCTGCTGACCTGATGGCCGAGAGGCGACGCGGTACAGGGCGACCATTTGGCAGGTACTCCGTTCACAACCACAAGCGTGCGGACACATGTCGCATGAGCCAGATAATTCGCAACCTGTAAGGTTAGAAAAACACAAAAAGGCCTGGCTTTTTGTATACCAAGAGAAACCTTGTTCAGCCCGGGCGAAACCGCTTCTCAAGATCGGAACCAAAGCAAGTGAAAAGGCTCATGCCAAGCCTTTCCCTCGCAAGATGCTCGGAACATGCAAAGGCACAAAACGCTGATATGTCCCAATCAAATCGCGAATAGTGATGCAGGGCTTGCACCTCAAGCCATGGGGCTTCAAGCCATCCGTTGGGAACCCAAGGCCCTTCAATCCCTTCAGCGCATCCTGACAATGAGAAAGCTTCCGCCTCATGTCCCGCTTTACATTTCAATCGGTGTTGGACCTGTTGTTGTAAGTGGGGCGTCTATTGAAAGTTTGTTGCTTCACGATCCTGCGAATGTTTGAGGGGTCTTCAAGAGTAGAACGCTTTTGTTGTTGTTTCGAAAGAAAACCCGGGCAACAAAAACACAACGTGTACCTTTGAAGGGTGGTTTATCAGAGTCCAACTCAGAGGCCAAAGTTCTTAGATCTAGGAAATCGAATTTTGCAACTGGTCCCCATCCATCAAATTTAAGACTTCATAAAAACACACGCCCAAACAGTCGCACAAAGGGGTTGCACACAGGAGCCCCTGATCCTGTTTAATAGACTCTTTCGGTTTTCTGTAATGTCAAGCTGCTTTTTCTTCTTGTTGGGGGGGTGGGGGGTGGGGGTGGGGGTGGGGGGTTGGGGAAAATCCTAGATCAAGATCTCAGCCTTTTACTTTCAAAGGGTAGCTCACCCTAAGCTGATGCCAGTACGAGGAATCTGAGATCAAGTCTTGGCAACACTAAATTTACAATTGGCAATACCAAATCAAATATAAGTGTTGGGGGCCCACGCCCAATCCAGACCACCCCCCGTTCCACTAAAGAGGGTCCCCACGACTGTTCGCACTGTTCAAGGAGGGGTCACATTAAAGAAGGTACAACATTAACAAGCGACGTCTGAGGCATGAACAGTTGGCAAACGGGTCGACAATGTCAGCCAATGGGCCGCATGCATTGTGAACGGTGCAGTGAATCAAACCTCTCTAGTCCTTCTCTTTTAAGATCACGGCTTCTACTTTTGAGTGCTGGAAAGATGGCCAGGGTTGATCAGCGGGGAGTCTGGCCTTGGAGCAGAACATTCTTTTCAAACTTGTTAAGCTTCAATTCTACTTGCTTCACTTGGATTTGCGCCGTTTGGAGATTTGGAGCAGCATGGGACTATGGGTGGAATGGCGAACGAATCGGCATCAGATTGGCAGATTCTTTCAGAGGCGAAAAGGGATCTGTTCTATCGGGAGTCTAGTGGGCGCTAATCACGGTTTCGTGTGTTTTGCGGCAAACCTCTTGGATGCCTCTGGAGCAAGCAATTAATCAAAGGTCCGCTAAAGAGAAGTCACCTCCAACGAATTTAGGTCAGAGCCGGCCTATCCAAGGTCCTTTTTAGTCCTTTGTCAGGTTCCCCGTTTCTGGGCCTGAAAATTGTGCTAAACGCCAACTGAGGAATTGAAACAGCAGAAGTCAAGCAGCTCTGTCCGGAATTAGATTGCTTTGTTTAAGGACCTTGTCGACCCCAGGACTGCTCAATAGACACAGCCCGAAAACTCTCCCGCCCGCCTGCGCTGGCGCGTGGCTGATGTTGTTGTATGCCTCGCACGCCGTAGCAAATGGAAGAAGGCTTGAGATGTCCACTCTGTGAACCGGCCCTTCTCTGCCAGCAAAAATGGCCCTCTTTGTTGCTGGCAAAAAAACACAATAAAACACACAAACATGGTGCCTGGCTGAAGCCCTGCACCACCGTGTTCGCTCTGTTTCTGGTCGCCTCCTTGGCTCACATCTCTCGCAGGAATCGCCTAATTTGAAAAGGACAGTGGGGCGAGGCGAACGAACTCACGCCGGCAATCAACGGCGGGTGAGATGATGTTGGATATGTTGGGACACGCTACCCCTCTGGGCAATGGGTGCAAGGCATCACAGCACTCGTGTGCTGAGCCATCTACAGAGCATGAGTTTGGCTTGGCTGGCTGGATTGCTTTGATGCACAGGCTTAGCTTGCCAAATTGTTGAATGCAAGGGAACCGTCGCGATAATGGCAGGAGGCAATAACCAATGCCTTGTTTGGAAGCCAGTGGTCATCGGTTGGTTGGCTAACACTAGGGATCTCTCGTCAATATCTTCAATATCAAACTAAACCCATTCACCGAGGAAAGAGTGCTGAACATGAACCAACAACATATCCACCTCTTTCATGGAACCTGCCAAACGACCCCGTTTATATTCGGGAGAACATGGCTGTTTTCGGGTTGTTTGGCGACGCCTTAGTCATCGTTGTTCTTGGCACATGGCATATGGGTTTGTCTTTAAGTTGGTATTCCTTGGGGGGGTTTGTTTGTCCGGAAACCGCAAGGACACCACCCTTTTCTGGACGGGATCCTCGACTTTTGAAACAAGTCCCAATGCACTTGATGGTGGGCAGCGTTTACGATTAGGGATACAATACCCACAAGACTCCCACCCTCCCAAAGAGCAAAAGATGAGTTTCCCATTCGCTTCCCTTCAAACCAAGCTCAAAAGGGTAGTCGGGGAATCGTCCTGCCTTGATGAGCTTCTGCCTCAAGGACGCCAAGCTAGGATCATCGCTCCGGATGGAGGGACTCCAGTCCTGCATCCAGTTGGGCGTGTTGCCGCCGCCTCAGTCTGGGCGCGCCACTTCAAGGGTTTCTAGATCCCTGTGGGCAACTACAAAGAACCTTCATGGGTCAGGTCGCAAACTCGCCCTTGTGAGGTAAAAAAAAACAAACACCAAAAAACATGTTGATTTCGGGTCAGTGCCTACTTGCCGGCATGTGCTCTTCTCCAAGTCCCTTGGCCATGGAAGCTGCTGTGGCTAGAGCAGCTTGAACCCCCCAAACAAATACATCAATGACAATGGCAACTGTTTGTTTCACAATGGGCACGTTGCCTTTGAACACGTCTGAGATTTCGCGAAGAGCAAGCGACACTTGTTGGTGAAGCGGGCATATCTGGTCCCATGAGGACTAACACTGACCGCCTTGACATAGGTATGATCACATCCAATTCGAGATGCAATAACTTCGCAGGCGCGTAGTATTCATACATGTATGCGTGTATGTACGTGTGCTGTGGGAACATACATACGTGTGTCACACAAACAACCTATGTGCATGCCTGGGTGCATGTGTGTATGCATCTACTTAATATGTTTCTTCTCTTCGGGATCGACACACTCGCAAGATGTTGATTGAGCGCTTGACAACATTGGCCGCGACGTGGCTCCAGGCTTTAGCAGCAAGCAGAAGTGCGCCAAGTAGCAGGACATTGTTGCTCCAACGCAAGATGACCCATCTCCCCAGCCCCGGCGCTGATTCCCAACATGCCCGGATCCTGGAAGGAGGGCTGATAGAGCGAAGCGACCCCGAGCTTTGAATTTCGTGCCTGGTCGCCTTGAAGCAGCGAAGCCGCGTTTTGCGCTCCCACCGCCTTCATGTTGTCTTTGGTGATGTCTCCCTCCTGACACTCACACAACCTGCGTTGCCTCGCGACTGGCCATTGCGGAAAAATGGCTGAATGGAACAATGCATGACAAGATTCTTCCTTAGAAGCCGAGAAAGGGTGCTGCATAACGATTGAACTCTGCAACCTATTTCAAGCAAGCCATTAAGTGTTTCTTCTCAAAGGTGCCCTCACTCCTGATGCTCTGCATGATTTGAAAGAAACCCTTTGGATCTCTGCTCGGCATCTAGCGCATAGCAATCATTTCAATTCAAACATTGCGTGTCACCACCAATCCACAGGTGCGTAAACAATTCAATACCCCTACAGTCTAGAGTTTGCTTGCTGACGGAACATGAGCACATACAACAAAAACATTAAAACAAACATCCACCCCGCACGTTCAGCTGAGAACATCGGCCCGTGGGTTTGAGCTGACTCTAAGACTCGCATGAGCCACTCGGCCTAAGGGCTTCCGTGTACCTTAAAAGAACGACATCCACTAACTTGTCCAGAGACCTGGACATCAATGTTGATCTTTCGGAACGACAAGTTTCTCGGCAAGACAAGGATCATACCAAGCTCAAAATGAAGGCTTGGAACAACTGTTGGCAAAACAGAGCGATTGTGAGACGGAAATGAGACATGGGAGGCCCTGCCTGTACAGCTACAATCAACCCTGTCCAGTGGGCTGCGCAAAAGTCCTGTTCGAAGGGTTCTTCGAAGCCATGGCCAAAAGGTAAACAAGCAGGAAAAGGTTCTCTAGGACCATTGGTCGAAGTTCCGAAGTGAGCCTCAGGAAACATGTGCGATTTTCACCCGAGTCAACAAACCTTTATCGAAGTTCCGTGGTACTGGCTATCCAGCGCCGCGCCTTTTCCGGAAAGTGTCCGAAATTGTATTCCCATGGGCGCACACAACTACCCAAGTATCCTTGTCGTCGCAGTAGGAATCCTCCATAACGTGGGCCTGCCCAAAGAGTGTTGCCAGCATCTGAAGGGCCTTCGGGATGACCCCTGCGTACCTTAGCCATTGGTCAAGCCCTTCCAATATCATCCAAGGCCCGGCACATTGGTTGGTGAACTGCTCCCGCCCTTTCAGCCCAGTACTGCCTTTCAAGCAAAGCGGCCGAATCTCATCCAAACTAGCTGGACTCTTGAAATAAGTTCAAGCTCACAAACTGATCTTTTCTCGAACAGGAAAATGCCTTGCCTGTACATCTTGAGTTTCTTGCGTACCACGGAGGTGATGTCATTATATACCTATAATGATATCATTGCATCTGTACATGTGTATATATATATATGTGTGTATGTATGCATACACATATTCATGTGCAAAGTGACATCCTGCTAATGTTTACAAGTTGATGGGGCCCTTGGAGCAATCAATTGCTTTCCAGGGCTTGCCGCGCTTAAGGGTGTGGAGAGCCCTAATCCGTATGCGACTCGAGTTGAAAGTTACTTGTGATTAACCTCTGGGAAGCGCTGGCAAACTTATCTCTGATATCTTCTGCATGGACGGAGCATGCAAACAAACATGTGGCTCTTAGATGCGTCCTGATTGCCTAACTGACATGTTAAAAGAACCCAACGCAAATTCTGCTGGCAAGCTCTACGCCAGCTGATCAGCTGGTCCAAGACTTGCTGGCTCGCGCTAGTAACTGGAGTCAATTCTTGGCCCTTGCCCGACCATCTGCAAGCAAGTCGCACAGAAGAGGTGAACTGAGGGATTTCGATTGAATGGCCGTCGCTAACATCGGTCATTGAATTCCTGCGCGTGACATGACGTGAGACAACCAGTTTGGTCCGTGGTTGATCGGTTACTTGGTTGCCTAGCTTGCTTGCTGGCTGGACACAACGTGCCAAAATCATTTTCAGTGCTGCTCATGCATCAACCAGTCTTGTCAAGTAGGGCCGCAGCGCTAAACCAATTGCATCCTCATGTCCGAGAGAATGCGGAAGACCCGCCCCAAATCATTTCACTTCCTGAGAACCCATCGAGAAAGAAATCCTTCCAAAGCCCTCCTCTGCCCGCCGAAACACCAGTCAAATCCAACTCCGGTCAAATTCCCCTAGAAACCGGTCAACTTCCCATCTAAAATCCTCTCCAACTCCGCTCAACTCCCATTTGAAACCAGACAAATTTATCAAATCCCCCTAAACACCGTAGAGCGAGCCGGTCAACTTTCCCTCTACCACTACGTTGGAAACAACTTGTGGAACATATAAGCCACTTATTTAACTTATAACCTACTTCTGAAACAGCATTTGTAAGCGCTCTCATCGAAGTCAAGAACGAACTTATAAGTTCACCCTAAGTTACTCGGGCGGGAGCCGCGGCAGTGTCTTTGTCCATAGCGCATTCTCGGCACGGGTTTTGAATTGTGCCATAAACAGAGAATTACCAAAAATCGGAAGGTGTTTTCTTCTAGCGCAGGCAGATCAGTCAAGTCCTGGTCGCATACGGTCCACCAAGCCGGAACTGTACATGTCGGCGCCGACTCGCTCTAACAACCACAACACTTGAAGGCAAACTAAAACACGGTATATACCTCAAAGCCAGCCAAAAGGGGACTGGCCGAAGCGTTTACAATAACAAACTTCCAGCAGCTCGAAAGGCAACCCGCCCCTTCCCATCTGGTTACATAACAGCCAATGAGAGCACGTTCACGTGCAACATTATCATCTACAGTATTGCCAATTCTGGACAACAGCAAGTTTGCGTTGTATGATTTCAACCATCAGTGGACAATTGGATTGCTGGAGTAAAAGGACCTCGCAACTTGCACAGCGCAACTCTTCCCCCAGCGGTGCGGTCCCCATCCACGCTTCGCTGAAGAGGCGGGGTTGCCAATCCTCGGCGCAGCACCGCCCTGAACAAGCCAGCACACCTTCTCAGCATCTTCTGACAGCCAGCTTGCACATGAAGTTGCTAAACCAAGCTCGCATACGGAACACCCGTTACGCGTTCTTGTTAAGACGACAACATGCCTTTCATTGGTAGTAGGGCCATCTGCAACTTAGCCATGATCGCGGGTTGAACAGTCCTACATGCTGCATCACAACTCCCTAAGGATCGTCGTATGTAAAGCTGCTTGCCAACATCATGAAGCTCTTATAGAGGGTGTCACATATATAACTGTCCTCCTTTCCTTGCCCAGGCTTCCGCATAATATCTCCAGCACCAGTTGGCTGCCGGAGATTCGTCGAAGCCTGTCCATGGGTCAAAACGTCATGGCAAGGACACATGAATCACGGACAACATGTTTCTTCCGCCAATTGGCACGGCAAATTGTCTGGAACCCCTACTACTTGAGAGGTGTTTGGATGAGCCGCCATGTTCTCAATGGACAACAACGATATTGTCAATTCACATTCGTGCTTCCCAAGATGAGCAAACGTCATTCAAAGGATGGATCTCAAGAGTATAAAGCTCAAACGTAAGAAGGGCTGTCGCAACCGGCAATACGTCCAAGTCACTCGAGAAGGTTTTGCCCACTAGCCCACTCCGGGGCAAGCCTTCGAGATACAGACAGCAATGCCAAGATAATTATACAAAACATCAAGAATGGCAAATCTCTTAGATGTCATCATATACAAAGAATGCTCAGCGTTGTTGTCGGTGACCTAGAAGAGCAACATCCTGTGGTTTCTGTGCAACGACTTTATTTAAGCCACGCTTGACTCAAAGCGCACTTGCGAGCGAAACATACATCGATCCTGGGAGGGTCGTCTTTCAATCTGTGTTCCTTACCTTTGCCTGCATCCAGCAGGTCTTACGTCAACGCTGGCTCAAAATGGCGCAGTGTTTCCTAAGCTGGCTAAGAAGGATCCTTCATCAAGTATCATTCATAGGTAAGGTCCTTCAACTCGGACGTGAGATCTTACTTGGCCCAATCATGCTCCGGTGCATGGGAAGTTCGTCTGTGAGCCGGGAGGTCAAACTGGGAAGCTCAGTGATGGCTTCAGTTGAACATCCATTTGGGGTTCTGGTTGTGCAGACTGCCTGCCCCGCTGATAGCTTCTGCCTCAGCATCTCTATGGCATGTGAGATTGAAAGACATCTTGATTTGAAGAAGAAGCAGGGCTTGCTGCAATATTTCCAAAGAACTGCTACAAGTTGTCTGTCCAGTCTTAAGCCCTCAGTGTCACAAGGAAGCAATCGATCTGCGTGTAAAATTTGCTGTTTGGACGACTACCAACTTAGTTCTCCGAGACTTTACCTGTGTCCAATTCAGGCATGAGGAGTATCAATGCTGGAGACACTGCAATATGAATTAAGCGCCTCGTGGTTTTAGAAACACACATAATGCTGAAAACAATAGACTGTTGCTATTTGTGCAAACAAACGCGAAAGGACTGCCTAATGAATGCCCCTCAAATCAAAGCAATCTTACATACAGCACGCGTCAGTCGTAGCGACTCCCGGAGATTCCTTCGATGAACACACACACACAAGTAGCACTCGAGCATTAGATGCAGTTTTGTGGATGCGTATAACGGCCGCAAAGTTTTTGTTGAAACTCTATTCCACTTTCGGAGCGGCCACCCCGCTCAACTGGGTGACTAATTGAACTGTTTAGCTGTCTAGTGGTCATTGGCATCTGATGACAGAGAACTATCGCTGTTGACCCTTAGCTTCTTCGCTGATGTGGTTCGTACACTTCAGCCACCGGAGCAAAAGATGAAGAGCGGTAAAAACAAAAACAAAAACCTAAGCTTCACTAAAACCCCACCGCGATTGGAGCCCTCCAATGTGTGAATGCCACAGGAAACGTCCGTCCAAATCCGCTGGTCACTCCTGGCTCCCCGAAGCGTGGAGGCTTCGCCATGGGGTTGCCCAGCGCCGCTGAGAGCTCTGGCCTCAGCCGAGCTGATATCGGGGGACCGGGTGTGGCGCTATGTTTCTGACTTCACTTCTGAAACTGAGACGGCTGTGGTCAAAGTTGCTGCTGTTTGTGTATATATATATATATAACTATATACATATATAATTGTATGTGTGTATATATATATATATATATATATTATGCCCCAGTAAGGGACCAGCTCCCAAATCTGGGGAAGGCATTCCGGCATTCCCAATTCGACCCTACAACCAACCCTCCAGCCACCCTACATCAACACTACCACACCAGCCCTGAACCAACCCTGGACCATCCCTGCATATCCCATGCTAACCCAACCAACCTTATCCAACCATAAACCAACCCCAAAAATTATCCATGGATGGGGAGGGGGCACATTTGGGGAAGAGGTTGGCGTGTTTCCTATACAGAATTTCCTACTACAGATATAGACAAAATATACACACAAAGACACTTCTCAAAATGAGGAACCAAAATGGTTGGCAGCATTTGTAGATCCACAAGGCTTTGGTTGGGGGCACTTGCCCCTCGGCCTTTTTTGAAGGGGGGCAACAGCCAGGCGCTGTGTGGTGGACTCGGGGGGGGCACAAACCTTTTGACACAGCCGTTTCCAGGGATGGTCAAGGTTCTGCTGGAGGCAATCCTTAGAACTATCAGAATACTGAGTGCAATATACAAAAGAAAAGCCTGCCCTATCTTTTTGACCTTGTTCGAAACATGGCGTACATGCGCGTGCCTAGGGACGTCTCGCTGCGTACTTTGCAATCAGCATCCGCATAAGCACCCAGCCAGTGCGTCAAGGACATGATCCTCGAAAGTTATTCATAATTGAAAATGAGTCTTGATTTGCCCTCGGAGCGACGCGCGCACATTTCGCTTCGGGGTCCGGGTTGTTAGAATTCGACCCTCCTGAAAGATTGGGATGGAGAGACTGCTCTGTTTCTCGCACAGTCACCTTGTGGTGGTGGTGCTGCTTTCCTTTGTGGGTTCACAACAACTAGTCATTGGGGGCAATGCATCGAATCCATGCCCCATACATGCAGAAATATCGAGCTCCATACTCTATTATTGTTGCGAAGCACTACGCACAAAGGCGGGCCTTCAGGAAAAAAACACATTCTGCACAGATTGGCAAGGCGTGATCGCAAAGGCCTGCTGTGTCTCGACTTTGCCAACTGCCAAGAAACGCATTCCAAGGAGTGGTCCCCCAGACTGCCAAGGATAAAGGCACTCCGTGCACACACCAGGGCCAAACTGCTGCTGGGATCTACCCGGGCCCGCATACAAGTGGCTCACCCACCTGGCTGGCTGCTTCTGCGAAGACCAGGGAGCTCAGCGGGTCGTGCGCCAGCATGCCGACGATCGAGGCGCATCTGCGCACGGTCAGTGGGTCAGTCGCAGGGTGGGTCAGCCAAGCTGAGGTTGGCTTGGAAAAAGTAGTTGGTCTAACACCTTCCTCCAATACAAACGATTGCAATCAGCCTCCTTCATGAGCAGCAAATGCTACCCATGCCCCAAAATATGACGCTGTCAAATTAGGGCCCCGTGCCACCCCGGCCTTCCTTTCTTTGACTGAAGAACATGCAAAAATTGTGATGCAATTCTCAGTATGTCAAGCATGTTTGTATAGTTCCTTCGATGAACGACATCCAGGGCCATCTCTAGCTTTAAGCAAGATTCTGGAACGAACTGCACTTCAAAGCACTTAACAACCCTTGACGTGACTGCTTCAACCTACCTTCCTCCCTCCCTTACCCTTCCAACAGCAAACAATAAAACTAGGATTAACAGCCATCAAGTAATTCCACGTCAAAGCTGCTTCCTAGCGACGCGACTTGCTTTGGGGAAAGCAAAGACCTCGGTGGAAAGGAAGCCCTGATGTGGTATACTAAATTAGCACCAAACCAAATGAGAATCGAGCAAAGCTCTCCCAAGAAGGAGAAGGGACTCATCGAACCAGCTTGGCTGGTTGGTTGGTTGGCAACATTCTCAGACCGCTGTTGGTCATGCAGCTTGTCAAGGTCACCATTGACCGCAGTGCCGGCCGGCGAGCGCATGCACTTCAAGCTTCTCAGCAAAATTAGCCAAGCACCCGAGCAGAAGGCAAAAAAAAACCCATAAAATAAACACATGCGCCTGCAACAACTCAAAGCAAGGCAAGACATACACACACACACACATCAGTTGTTCGGACTTGGGTACCATAGCCACACTCGATTGTATAAGTATGAAACCACGCAACGTGTTGCATTCAATTTCCAGTCCATGTTAGTAGAAACTCTTGGGGGCTGCACGCCTTCCCCACATACTGCAGGTATATGAATAAAAAGGAAAAGCGAGTAGAAAGGAAAGGGCTGTTGGGGGCTCCATGTTAGTGTTCCTAATTTAGGCTGTTTGCTGTGGTGTCCCGTTGTGCCAGCTAACATGGAACCCACCAAGACCGCCTGAACAGGGCACTTACCATGAGTTCGAGCCTGTTGACCCCTGAGTCCGAGCAGATTGAACGTTTGTCTCATTTGTAAAATGCCTGCTTGCAAGCTTTCTAGACTGCATTCTTTTGACCCGACCAGTTCCATGAGTATAGACGAAGAAATTAGGGAAATCCGGTCTGGGATTGCGGGTGCTCTATGTCTCCCAATAGCTGTGTCGAAGTCAAGTCTGTCCACATTACCCACAGTGCCACATTGCACCCACGAAGATTGCAATACAGCTTGCAAAGGCGCAATTCTGACCAAAAGCACTTGGAGTGCAAACATGTTTCAAAGCTGGAACAGCAACCAACACAAGCTGCTTCGCATCAAACAGCAGAATCGCAGAAATCTTGTAGCGCAATGGTCTTCTGCAATTCCTTTCCACTCAAATTCCATTCTCTAAGCCGCCTGCATGAACCAAATCCGAAAGGATAGATCATGAGGGGTGCGTGGTGACAAAATCAATTCGCTACCCTTGCGCCACCGACTCACCTGTTGCGAAGCAACGCATGCCACTCTGCCACTGCGGTGTGACTAATGCTTATCAAAGGAGTCACCACAAAGGCACTTCTTTGGCGCTTCTGCCAGCCATCGTCTGGCAGAGCCGATAATTTGTCGCGCAACTTGCCAATGGACGCACTGCAGCATCTAAGTCCCGCATCAAAGCAGCTAGAATCTTGACATGCGATTACTCATGTTAGCTGCCAAGCTTTCAAAGTGCGCTGTTGTACTCAAGCACAGGCAGATGTGGTGGTATCTTTGTATGAAGACATTGCAGCGGCAGGACAAGCGTCGGCCGCAAAGAACCCATCCCTTACAGCGTGGCATGCTGCCGAGGCACACATCGCGCTGAAAGTAGTCCACGCGGAAGAAGAAGGCCAGAGGGACTAACAAATAGGGCATGAACGGGCCCATAGTGTTGAAGAACCACCCCAGTCGGGTGAGATCAGAACTCCTTTCGAAGTTGTCTTGTTCTTTCCAGGCACGCATGAAGACAAACACCGCCACCACCTCAGCTGGACCCCTTCTATAAAATAGAAGGGGGAAGAGATGGCTTCTTGCGTGCTTAATTTTTGCAACACCCGACTGAGGAATCTTGAGCAGGGTGTTCCGTGGCCTTCCTAATGCTCTTCTCCTCATGCGCGATGTACACATTTTGCAGACACACTCATGAAGACAGTGCGGCTCCCGAACTTGGGAAGAGACACTGCAACAAACAACTGAGCTTCGAGCACATGTCCGATGCTCAACCATTTTTGACAGCAAGCAGTCACGGTTTTCTCTCAACATAGATTCTTCCACGTAGGTGCCATTGGCACCGTCAACCCCTGGAGCAATTGCACTGGCGACCAACCATTTTTCCGTGTCCTTGCCTGCATCCCTTGTGAAACTGCCCACGTCTGTCCAACAGTCAGCCAGCCGTATGCTGGCATCTTCTGAGATTTGAGGCCCAGTCCCCAGACATCTCCGACAGCGTGTTTGCCAACAGCTCCGCATAAATGAAGCGCCTGAGATGGCGGAGTCGAAACATCTTGGTCAAAGGAAGTTTAGAAGGAACTTCCGTGTTACGGCAACTAATTGAAAGCCAGCTCTCGCTGAGACAGATGAAGAGAAGGAATAAGGCGCGAGAAAATATGTGGTGGGAGTATAGAAACCTGCAAAAAGCATGGCCCCGTGCGTGAATTGGTGTCTCCGGAGAGCCGAAAGCTAGCCTGTTCGCGGCGCCTGGTCGGACCACTCTCGGAGCGCATTCGGAGCGCGTTCGGAGCGCGTTCGGACCATGCTCGGAGCGCGGGCCCATTGGCACGGCAACGCGAAGGTTTCGCCAGGTTTGAATTGCGTGGCAGGCGCAGCACTTTCGCAAGGTCAGGTTCAGATTTCGTGGCACGCGCAGCACTTTCGCAAGGTCAAGTTTTCCCAAGGATTGAATTGCGTGACAGGCGCAGCACTTTCGAAAGGTGAAGTACAGATTTCGTGGCAGGCGCAGCACATTCACAAGGTCAAGTTTTCGCAAGGATTGAATTGCGTGGCAGGCGCAGCACATTCGAAAGGTCAAGTACAGGTTTCGTGGCAGGCGCAGCACTTTCGCGAGGTGCAGTACAGATTTCGTGGCAGTGGCAGTACTTTCGCAAGGTCAAGTACAGATTTCGTGGCAGGCGCAGCACATTCACAAGGTCAAGTTTTCGCAAGGTTTGAATTGCGTGGCAGGCGCAGCACATTCGAAAGGTCAAGTACAGGTTTCGTGGCAGGCGCAGCACTTTCGCGAGGTGCAGTACAGATTTCGTGGCAGTGGCAGTACTTTCGCAAGGTCAAGTACAGATTTCGTGGCAGGCGCGGCACTTTCGCAAGTTTGGGCACAGATAGATAGATAGATAGATAGATAGGTAGATAGATTAGATTAGATAGATAGACAAATAGATTAGATAGAAAGTAGATAGAAAGTAGATAGAAAGTAGATAGATAGACAGATATAGATGAAAGGAGAGAGAGAGATAGATAGATAGAAGGGGAGAGAGAGATAGATAGATAAAGAGATAGATAGATAGATAGATAGATACAGAGGTAGATAGATAGGTAGGTAGATAGATACATCGATTGATCGACAGATTAGATTAGATAGAAAGTAGATAGATAGATAGATTAGAAAGAAAGTAGATAGTCAGAGACAGAGAAAAAGAAAGATAGATAGATAGAATAGATAGATAGATAAAGAAGTATATAGGTAGATAGATAAATAAACAGATTGATCGATAGATCAAAAGAGAGAGGGAGAGAGAGATAGATAGATAGATAGAAAGATGGATAGGTAGATAGATAGAAAGGTAAATTAGATAGAAAGTAGATAGAAAGTAGATAGATAGACGGATAGATAGATAAATAGATAGATAGATAGATAAACAGACTAGATAGAAAGTAGATAGTTAGAGAGAGATAGATAGATAAAAAAGAGATAGATAGATAGATAGATATAAAGAAGTAGATAGGTAGATAGATAGATAGATAGATCGATCGATCGATTAGATTAGATAGAAAGTACATAGACAAATAGATTAGAAAGAAAGTAGATAGTCAGAGAGAGAAACATGCAGATAGATAGATGGATAAATAGATAGATAGATGAAGAAGTAGATAGGTGGATAGATAGATAGATAGATAGATAGAAAAATAGATTGGGTTGATCAGGAGATAGATAGGTAGCTTAAAGAAAGTACATAGAAAGTAGATAGATAGACAGATACATAGATACATAGATGGATAGATAACTAGACAGACTTGATACAAAGTAGATAGTTAGAGAGAGATAGATAGATGAAAAAGAGATAGATAGATAGATAGATAGATGGATAGGTAGATAGATAGGTAGATAAATAAAGAAGTAGATAGGTAGATAGATCGATAGATGGATCGATCGATCGATAGATCAAAAGAGAGAGAGAGATAGATAGATAAAGAGATAGATAGATAGTTAGACAGATAGATAGATAGATAGACAGACTAGATAGAAAGTAGATAGTCAGAGAGAGATAGATAGATAAGAAAGAGATAGATAAATAGATAGATGGATAAGTAGATAGATAGGTAGATAGATAGATAAACAGAGAGATAGATAGATATATAGATGAAGGTAGTACGTGAAGATAGATAGATAAACAGAAGGTAGTACGTGAAGTCCACTTTCGCAGCTGAAATCGCAAGTTTTAAGTACGAGAGTAGTACGTGAAGTCCACTGTCGCAGCTGGGGCTCGAAAATCGCAACCGTTAGGTACGAAAGTAGTACGCGAAGTCAACTTTCGCAGCTGGGGATTGAACATCGCAACTTTTAAGTACGAAAGTAGTACGTGAAGTCCACTTTCGCAGCTGGGGCTCGAAAATCGCAACTTTTAAGTACGAAAGTAGTACGCGAAGTCCACTTTCGCAGCCGGGGCTTGAGAATCGCAACTTTTAAGTACGAAAGTAGTACGCGAAGTCCACTTTCGCAGCCGGGGCTCGAAATCGCAACTTTTAAGTGTCGAAAGTAGTACGCGAAGTCAACTCTCGCAGATGGCTCCAAAATCGCAACTTTCAAGTACGAAAGTAGTACGTGAAGTCCACTTCCGCAGCTGGGGCTCGAGAATCGCAACTTTTAAGTACGAAAGTAGTACGCGAAGTCCACTTTTGCAGCCGGGGCTCGAAATCGCAACTTTTAAGTACGAAAGTAGTACGCGAAGTCAACTCTCGCAGCTGGGGCTTGAAAATCGCAACTTTCAAGTACGAAAGTAGTACGTGAAGTCCACTTTCGCAGCTGGGGCTCGAAAATCGCAACTTTTAAGTACGAAAGTAGTACGCGAAGTAAACTTTGCAGCTGGGGCTCCAAAATCGCAATTTTTCAATACGAAAGTAGTACGTGAAGTCCACTTCCGCAGCTGGGCACGAAAATCGCAACTTTTAAGTGCGAAAGAAAATAGAGAGATAGATACATAGAGAGAGAGAGAGAGATAGATAGAGAGATACATAGATAGATAGATAGATAGACAGATAGAGAGAGAGATAGATAGATAGATAGATAGAGAGAGAGAGAGAGAGATAGAGAGATAGATAGATAGACAGATAGATAGAGAGAGAGATAGATAGATAGATAGATAGACAGATAGATAGATAGATAGATAGATATAGAGATCGATAGATAGATAGATAGATAGATAGATAGATAGATAGATAGATACATAGATAGATAGATAGATAGAGAGAGAGAGAGAGGGAGAGAAATAGATAGATAGATAGATAGATAGATAGGTAGATATATAGACAGATAGATAGGTAGATAGATAGATAGAGAGAGATAGAGAGATAGAAAGAAAGAGAGATAGATAGAGATAGATAGATAGATAGAGAGATAGAAAGTAGATAGTTAGAGAGATAGACAGACAGATAGATAGATAGATGGATAGATAACTAGATCGATAGACAGATAGAGAGATAGATAGAGAGATAGATAGAAAGAGAGATACAGAGAGAGAGAAAGATAGATAGAGAGATAGATAGATAGATAGATAGATAGACAGATAGATAGATAGACAGGTGGATAGATAGATAGATAGATAGATAGATAGATAGATAGATAGATAATACAAAGATAGAGAGATAGGTAGATGTATAGATAGATAAAAGATAGAAAGAGAGATAGAGAGATAGATAGATAGATAGGTAGGTAGGCAAAGAAATAGATAGATAGATAGATAGATAATACAAAGATAGAGAGATAGGTAGATGTATAGATAGATAGATAGATAGATATAAGTAGATAGATAGATAGACAGGTAGATAGAGAGATAGATAGATAGATAGATAGATAGATAGATCGATAGAGAGAGAGAGATAGATAGATAGATAAATAGATCGATAGGGAGAAAGAGAGAGAACGATAGATAGATAGAGCGATAGATCGATAGATAGAGAGAGAGAGAGATAGATAGATAGACACGCGGGAGATAGATGGAGAGAGAGATATAGATAGATAGATAGATAGATAGATAGATAGATAGATAGATAGATAGATAGATAGATAGATAGATAGATAGATAGATAGATTAGATAGATAGATAGATAGATAGATAGATAGATAGATAGATAGATAGACAGATAGATAGATAGATAAAGAAAAGAGGCGGGTAGATGGATATATAGATAGATAGAAAGAGAGAGATAGATAGATAGATAGATAGATAGATAGATCGGTAGATAGCTAGGTAGATAGATAGAGAGAGAGAGAAATAGGTAGAGAGACAAATAGATAGATAGACAGACAGACAAACAGATGGATAGATAGATAGATAGAGCGAGAGATAGATAGATAAATAGATGGAAAGAGAGATAGAGAGATAGATAGATAAATAGGTAGATAGATAGAGAAATAGATAGATATATAGATAGACAGATGGATAGATAATAGATAGATAGATGGATAGATGCAATGATAGAGAGATAGGTAGATTTATAGATAGATAGATAGAGAGATAGATAGATAGATAGATAGAGCAAGATAGATAGAGATAGATAGATAGATAGATACATAAAAAGAGAGATGGGTAGATAGATAGATCGATAGACAGATAGTTAGATAGATAACACGAGAGATAGATAGATAGAGAGATAGATAGATAGACAGATAGATAGAGAGAGAAGAGACAAAAGAAAGAACAGCACCAAAACAAGCAAACGAAGAAAGAAAGACACAAAAAGATAGAAAGAAGGAAAGAAGGGAGGAAGGAAGGAAATAAAAGAAGAAAGGAAGAATGACGGAGAAAAAAGAAACAATGAAAAGGAAGAAGAAGAGAAAAAGAGTCAAGAAAAGAAAGAGAAAGAGAACTAGAGTTTTTATATTTTTGAAACTTCCGCCCACCAGCTTCGCCGGCTCTACTGGTATGTCTCACCATGGCGCACCCATTTTGGTGGCTTTTCCGGCCCGACCAACATGAAATCTGCCTTTGCAGGGGAACACAATGAGGCCCATGAGGCTAATCCAACTGTAAGCATTTTGCGCTTCCTCCACAGAACTGAAAGAAGGGATCCATCTGGCAAAGAATAGTTCAAGAGTCAGATTGTTGTGGGTGCCATGGAAGCTGCCAGGTTTCGGCAGCGGCTGGCGCAAGTCAGATTCATTGCAGCGGGTAGTCCAACCCCAAACACAGGCAGCCAATGAAGGTACCACGCCCCCCCGCACCTTCATGCCACATACAACAAGCCCCATGGATCGACGAAGCTTGCGTGCAGGCTGGACGTCCATTTTCCGAGAGAGATCAAGGGAATCCCGAGACCATCTTCCGGGCTTCTCACCCCCAAAATTGGACCGTCAAAGGGGTATGAAGTGGTGAAGCGGAATTTTGGAGAAGGACCAAGGACAAGCATCCACTGTGATAGAAGCATCCAAATGAGGGCTGTCCTTTGCCGACAAGCTCATATTGCAGGTGCGCATTGAAGGCCTGGAAGCTGGTTGTTTCAACTGGGGCTGCATTACGTTGTTCCCGAAAGCTGAAACGTGAGAATGCGTTGCACAACGCAGTTCGTCCAGGCCAAGCCGCCCCCCCCCCCCTCCGACCGAATGCATCTTTGCATACTGGTCACTTTGAGACATCAAGTTATTCTCACAGGTCTAAACTGAAACGGAACGCAGTAATCCAGGCTTTAGCTACCTGGTTGATGAAGAACCACGTGTTCTTTTTACATGTGGATTCTGGCCTGTCTTTGGCTACACACCCGCCATTCAGCCAGGTTGGCATGTCCCCATCCGCCTTTCAGTCTGGCATTCAGAGAGTACTATGGCTTGGCGGAAACCAAGTTCGACTGAAGAGTAAAGCACCACGCATGACATGGGCACTGCAGATGGGGAGCTCAAAGTATGGCCGAACCATCTCTGGGAACGCATCCAGCTTCACTCGCACGTTTCTCCATGCCTGACGGGAGGCCAACGCACATCGCGAAGAGTGGAGCACATGAGTCACTTGATCATCTTTGTCCTGCTCAAAATTTAATGACTGGTTCTCTTTTCGGGAATCTCTCTTGTCGCTTCACAAACGCTTCGTCACTCTGTCGCTTAGAGTCCTCCTGGCAAACAAGTGGAAGGCCTACTGATATGAGTGATACAAAATACAACCTTCTCATGTCATTATTGACAGGTCATACATAGGTTCCTTTCATGCACACGCATGGGAGCTTGACACTTAGCTTCTTTAAACACCTCAGAAAACAATCCTGCGTCACGCAGCGCTGTGGTTGAGACAAAGGAGGATTAGTAAACCGGGCTGAGAATGGACATATGCACATACTGCAGTGGAATATACAGTAGTATGAACGACAAACGAAATTGCCAGTTGAACATGTGGCTTATCAGCCACATGCATCCCTTGCTTTGTCCGAAAGTAGTATGGGGTTCGGAGCAACTTGACAGGACATGTTCCAACCAAAACCGAAGGCCTGTTTTGAGGTCTCTGAACCCAACGTGTCTAGGTTAGAGACTACCTAAACGCCTCGTTGATCCCGCGAAGAGGAGGCCCCTTGGCTGACTGCGTTTCAAGGGACACAAGGGGAAATCTTCCATAACCAGCGGTTCCGGACTTTAGCAACCATAACCTGGTTTCTGGAGCACGCAGCTGCTTGTTGACTTGAAGCAGACTTCGGGAAGCTCTTTCGCTTCAAACCATACATTCGCGGGTCATTTCGAAGAGTGCATCGCCACAGGAACAGTTCCACAAAGCCCAAAGCATGGAATACTGGCTGGCCAAGGAACCATTTGAAAGTCATTCAGGCTCAGCACAAGCCAAATGAGGGAAGCGGAGCAGCCAACCTCAGTGGCCGGCAGAGGAGGAGGACGAGTGTGAAATATGGTGAAACTCAGTTGTGCTGCTCCCTTTTCTACAGTGTGGGCATGCAATGTCACGACATGCCACACCACGCAAGGTTGCCTGGCAGCCTGAGCAACTGGAAGCTGGGCCTTTGAGAATGAGGCCGCCCGGACTCTCTTTATTATACCCATGTATACCATCTCTCCAGCGGTTGCACGTAGACAGGTGGCTTCCCCAAAGGGGAATTAGTCTTCAAAAGTCCACCTCTCATATTCCATGATTGCTCGGTAAATGTTACTGCTCAAAGTCTATGTTTTCTGTCTGTAGTTCTGTCTTTCGTTTTGCTTTTGTTCGTTCGTTCCTTCTGTCTTCGTTCCGTTGACTCTCTTTTTTATGTGCTTCTGTATTTTCGTGATTCTTTCCGTGTTTATTTTTTTGCTTGTCTTGCTTGCTTGCCTTCTTCCTTCCTTGCTGTTTGTCGTGTTGTGTTCCCCTTTCTGTATTTCTTTATTTCTTTCTTTCTTTGTTTTTTCTTTCTTTCTTTCTTTCTGATTTACTTCTTTATGTCCTCTTTTCGTTGTGTTCTTCTCTTTCTTTGCGTCTTGTCTTGAAAACACTCTTTGCGTCCACAATGACTTTTTGTTGTGTCGCGCGTTGTGTGTTTCCCCCCTTCATGCGTTACAATGTTTCTCTGTTTGCCTGTTTCTCAAGTTATTCTTCCTTTGTTTGTTGGGTTCTCTGTTTGCCTTTGTGTTTGTTTTCTTTTTGGATGCTTGCTTGCTGGTTCTTTCTGCGTTCCTGTCCATCTGTCTGTCTGTTTGTCGTTGTGGCCGCCCGACAGGTTTGGGGTCAATAAACTTGAAGCGACATCCAACCTCCATAACAGGTCGCCCGCCCGCCCGCCGCCAAAGCCGACAGACAGCTGTGACAGAGCCTGTGACGGACAGCTGCGAAGAGCCTGTGAAGACAGATGTGGCGGGGCCCGTGGTGTGACAGTCAGGGTAGTAGCGACAGAGCTTGTGGCAGACAGATGCGACAAATAGCTGTGACAGAGCCTGTCACAAACAGCTGCAACATAGCCTTGACGGACAGACGTGACAAGTAGCTGTGAAAGACCTTCTCACAAAGAGCCGTGACAGAGCTTGTGACGACAAAGCTTGACAAAAAGATGTGACACACAGGTGTGACAAAAAGCCAGTGGCCGGGCCGGACAGCCACGAAAGCGAACAGTTGAGCACGCTTGCAGCGCGCGAAAAGTACATGTCTTAGGCGGGGAGCGTTTGAAGTAAACTAATTTCTGCTTGTATTTCCTTGTTTTTCCTTTCTTCTTTATTTCGGTCATTCTTTATTTCGTTCGTTCTGCGTGGCTTCTTTCATTGTTGACTTTTTTGTGTATTTCCTTGTTTATGTATTTATCCGCCGACATTGCTCGGCATGTCGGGTACCAAGTAGAGGATAGAGGATAGGCAGGGTTTGGGCCCCCCCCACCCTCCCCCACGTATCGCGCCGCAATCTCATGACGTTTGCAGTCAAACACTATTATTGGCCTCCTTCAAGCTGAAAAACAACGGGAAATGAAGCTGCAATGAAGGGAAATGAATCGGACATGAAGGTCAATACAGGGGACATGTGCGGAAATGCAGAACAGTGCAGGGGAGCACTAAAGGGGGACTGACTGGGAAATTCGGGGGAAATGAAGGGAAATGAAGGGGAAATGGCAGGGAAGCGCAGGACATGAAGGAGGGAAAATGATGGGGACAGGAAGCGGAAATGACAGGAAATCAAGGGAAATGCAAGGGAAGTAAAGGGGAACTTGAAGGGGACATGAACGGAAACGAAGGGAGATGTACGAGGAAATGACGGGAAATGAAAAAGAAATGCATGGGGAATACTGGGGAAAAGGACAGGGAAATGAAGGGGAAATTCAATCGAGATGCAAGGGAAATGCAGGGACCATAAAGGGGACATGAGGGTGAAGTGCAGGGAAATGCAAGGACATGCAGGGGACAGGAAGCATAAATGACAGGAAATGAAGGGGAAGTGCAAGGGACACGAAGGGGAACTGAAAGGGAGATGAAGGGGAAAGGAACAAGAAATGAAGGGGAACGAAGCGAAATGAAAGACAGCCAAGGGAAAATGAACGAAGGGAGATGTAGGAGGGAAATGACTGGAAATGAAGGGGACGTGCAAGGGAAAAAAAGGGGAAAAGGGCAGGGAAATGAAGGGAATTTCAAGGAAATGCTAGGGAATTGCAGGGACAACAAAGGAGACGGGGAAATCGTACGGTGTGAAGTGCAGGGAAATGCAAGGACATGCAGGGGACATGAAGCGGAGGGTGCAATGTCGGCAGACTGAGCCGTAGGCTCCAAAGTTTATTTACACAAAAGCAGAAGACAACATACTTGGTTGTTCCTTTCTTCATTTCTGGATTGAATTTGTTTGAACCTTATGTCTGTCTTCTTTCATTCTGTCGTTCTTTCTTGAGTTATTTCTTTGTTATGCATGCATTTATTTGGTTGTTCACTCATTTACTTTGTTCCTTTCTTCTGTATGTCTGCCTTTCTTTCCTTCTTTCGTTGTTCTATTTATGTTTGTGTTCCTTGCTTCGTTCTTCATTTCTTTATGTCATTACTTCCTTCTTTCATTATTTCTTCGTTTCGTTCCTTCATTCCGTTCTTCCCTTCGTCTTTCTTTCTGTCCTTCTTTCTGCCTGTCTTTCTTTCTTTTCTTTTCTTTTCTTTTTGTCTTCGTTTCTTGCTTTCTGTCTCTTTGCTTCAGTTTCCTCTTTCTTTCTTCATTTCTTTGTTTCTTCTCTACTTTCCCTCTCTCTCTCTCTCTCTTACACATGTGCTCACTGCATAGCATGTGCAGCAAAGAAGCCCGGAGTGCATTTTGCCGCCAGAACAGGAAGCGGTCGACAAACTGCGGTTTATCAGGATTTTTGGCTCCTCAGTGCCATGCAAAGATTCAACCATCCTGGCGTATCTTGCAAACCTAAGGAGCTGTCATTGACACAGCAAAGCTTCCCAAGTGGTGCCGTCAACTCAGTTGACAAAGTTGGAAAAACACCTTTGGTTTCCAGGCCCTGAAAGCCGTGCCGAAGGGTCGACATCCCAGCTCCCACGAAAGAAAGGTTCTCAAGCCTTGAAGGCTGACTGAATCCGACACATGAAACAAGCAGGGTGATGATCAGCACCTCCAGAAAGAAAGCTCCGCAGGGGCCAACGCCACGCCTGTTGACAAACTCCCTCCTGTTTCCCTGCAAAGGCGACCGTCTGATTACCCAACCCAACTCCGCTTCCCACTGCGCACTCCTGGCACGAACTTCACGTGTTCGATGGTGTTCTCAGCTGTCAAAAGCTGATACTCTCTCTCTTTCTCTCCCTACTCTTCATGGTGCAGGCGAAAGCCACACACTCCAAGCACAAATGCTTGATCCATTCGTCAGATCAAAGCCTTGACATGATAGCCTTGATGGAAAGTTAACTGTGACACTCTGACACCTGACTCACTCAAGGACCTCTGAGCAACTCCTGTGTGAGCACTGCATGAACTTCTTCCCAACTTGCAGCCGCGTTGCAAAGGCGGTCTTGATGTACAGGAAGGGGTTCCATTTCGATGGCATCTTACATGGAGAGCCCAATCATGGGCATTGCGTTTAGAAGAAATACGGGAGCCTGCTAAACAGGCTGCGGGGCAGGGTCTGAAGTGAGCTCAAACGAAGCACATGAAAAGGCAAGGGCACTAAGCTTGATCCTACCAACTCAAAGGCTTCTTTGCATAACATGCAGTGGGTTGCTTGCAGCTGGAAACGTATTTATTGATCTGGACAAGTTCATATTGATAAGAGACAGGCTTGGACTCAGCCCTACCCCTAACAAGACAAAGCCCCCCTTAAACACTCACATCTGCTTGCTACTTGACCTCTACTAGATGGGGTCGGGGTCTAATGTGAGGCATGCTTTGCTCACCTCGATTGCCTTCGTTCAAACAAGAAACCAAACAGAAATACGCGGGTTCCTTCTCTGCAACATCGGGTCGACACATGAGTCATGAGTAGTCATGCGAGTTGCATCGAATAGCCGCATCAAATAACCATCCGAAAGTAGGATGACTCCGACTCCGACTCCTACAATGGTGCTCCTTCCAAAGCTGGAAACACGATTGCCTTGAATGCGATGGACTGAAGATCTGTTGAAGCCAGTTCCTCAAGGCCAGTAGCAAATCACCAGCCGTTGCTCTGGGCATTTGCGGAGAGCGCTTTGTTCCGGGCAATGTTGCCACAGTACTACTCGGCAAGAAACCGCGCCGTGCACCATCATTTTGGTCCAGTTCCGTCTGGCACGACCAGATTGTACATGCCGCATCTCTTTCCCTTCAAGCGGGACAGCTGCCAAATCTAAACTTGAATCCAGCCCGCTTAGGACCAGCTCATGCTTGGCCTCAAATCTCCTTGAAGGGACAGCATGGCCACAGGCCCCACAAGAGTACATATGTACATAAGCACTATGGGCACTTGAGTCACTTAGTGTGCATGAATATATATATATATATATATATATGTACATATATATATATATATTATGTATTATGCAAATACACATGCATGCATACATATGCATACATACATATGCATGCATATGTGTATATATATATATGTGTGAGCCCAGCAACAAGCGCCCCCTGCACTACCGCCGCTGCCTGGCCAGTGACCTGCAGCTCCCCGACCTTTGACGGTTGGAAGTGAACGTTGGAGGGGGTGGGCTTGAAGTCGACAGCTTGGTTGACGTTGGAAGGGGAGCAAAAATCTATTTTCTAGCAGTTAAGTGGGGATTTCCCACTAAACCACAATAAGCAAAATGTCAGGGTCAACCATGACAGGGTCAACGACTGACTTTGAGCCAGGTGTTCCAGCGGTCGAATGGGTCAACGATTTGACGAATGGTACTCATTGGGTCAACTGGATGAGATTGCCGATATTTCTAGATCGACTAAAATACTATGAAGAGACAAATTGGATAGGAACGGAGTGATGGACGCCAATTTGTCTTGGTGTCATGATCACGGCTTCACTGACTTGTGTTTGCTAAGTTATTCTTGTACTTTGGGTGGAGCCAACAGCTTTTTGCCTCAGATTCGGACCGCCTGGGAGAAGTTCACGGACAGGTTTGAGTGACATGGGACAAGCTGAATGGTTAAAGTTGCCCGTTTCCCGCACATATCAAGGCCGATAACATCTAGCTTCATTTTCATTTGAGTACCGCGAAACCGCCTTAAACCTCAGAACCCTGAAACCATCTCATCCTCACAATAGCAAAACTCATCATCTATCCCCCGAACCGCAAAATGATCACCACGAAATCCCAAAAGGGAATCATCAAATTCCCATGAAAACCCGCCAAGCACTTCCAGTTCCACTGTAGGTGTCAGGCTCCTCCCGCTGTCTGGGAACCCGCCTGCCATTGCAAGGCTCATGAGGATGGCGTGCAAAGCAAACAGAGCAAGGCTCATGAGGATGGCGTGCAAAGCAAACAGAGAAACCAACCAACCAACCAACCAACCGACCAACCAACCAACCAACCAACCAACCAACCAACAAACCAACAAACCAACAAACCAACAAACAAACAAACAAAATAACAAACTAAGTAAACCAAACCAAGCCAAACCAACCAATAAACCAGCTTGCTGGCAAACTATCCAACAAACTCACAAGCTGACTGACTGACCTCGTGGGCTTAGAGCCACAGCAAACGCAGGGCCAGGCCCTTCCGACTTCCGATGCTACACTTTGAGTAGCCAATAAGCAATTTCAATGGAAATCAGCCTGACGTGTCCGAACAAGGCATTGGATAATATGTTTGCTAAATGGATGCATGTCCGCAAATCGCCGGCCATGGCTCTAGACACAACTGGTACTGAATAAGACTGTGGTGTAATGCTCTTTTTGGCTCCATGCGGGTCAGAGTCATAACTCCAGAATCCTCTGCATTTGTGAGCAAATTGCACATGGCTTGATTTTGCTGTGAGGTTCACAACAAAGTAGCACACTCATGCAAGCACTGGGACTGTATGTCTGCAACACATCCCACCGCGGGAAAAGCATTTGCCAAATAGTCTCAAAACAAGCAATCTCCGCAAATGCTTGATGGTTGTGGTTGTTCTGCAGATCCCTGCATTCAGAATCTGTCAACAAAACCTAAAGACTGCCTTTCGTCCATCGCGGTGTGTGCCTTGCGGTCACGCTCTGTTTGGCAGGAACTAGAAGGTGACAGTTCTCAGGCCATGATTAAAAGCTGTTGAACCATGAAAAACTCAAGGGTCATATATTTATCTTTGGACAACTCAGCAGAAGCCAGGCTTCCAGTGGCACCAAACTCAAACGGTGGGCTTTCTCCAAGTTTGAAATACCCCTTGACATCCGCAACTAGCTTCCCACGTAACACATTGGGAGGCAGCAGCCCCGGCCTACAAGTTCAGTGGGCACCGGGGCGCTTTAGTGCCAAACCCCATGTTCCTCCCGAGTGAAGGAAACACCTTGATAAAGCAGATGTCCTCAGCTCGCACCAGTCTGCCCTCTTCCTATGGGCCCAACGATTGGATGGTGACACATGTGCAGGCTGACCAGGTCATGTTTCGACAAGAGCGCATCTCTGGATGCATATCGCCGCTGATACAGCCGAACTCGTTGCCCCTTGCCTCTCCGCCAGACCATGGTGTGCCTTTTGGCGCCTGGGGCGGCTCTTTCAGTTGAACAAAATGATGCACCCTGCCGCTGATGTGGTTCTGGGCTTCCGCCAAGTCGGGGCAACCAGCATTTCAGCTCAGGACCTTCACACTTTGGCTTACCAAGAATGGCCTTTCCTGGTGGTTCGCTGCTAGTTGCAACTGACTATCACCGTGGCAACGGCTTTGCCTTTTGGGCTGAGCTTGAAGGCTACTAGGGATTATGTGTCTCCGTTGCCTTCAGTGTCAGCGAAAGCCATGGAGGATAAAGTTGGCAGATCCACGCAACTGCATCATGTGTCTTCTTTCGAAAAGCAAGCGTGAAGGCTACATTCAGCAAACTCTCATCACATCTCATAGCTACATGACATCAGGCTGGCAATTGATCTTGTGATTTCTCCGCAGTTCTGCTAAATCCTACTGAACTTTGACTACCTGTCCCTTCTCTAAATGGCAGCCGCTTCTGGTGCGCTTCAAGAATCGTCATGCACTGGTTGCGTGGCTGGGGCCCGGTCATCCACAATGGTGTAGGTGACGGGGTTGAACTGGAAGGGCTGCCCCGAGGCGTTGCCCCTGAACGAGGCAGGCACCTTTCCGACTGCTTCAAAGGCTGTGTGCTACTCGTGAACGCGCAACCAGTGCAAATGCCTTTTCATCCAATCCGTTTGTATGAGGAACCACCCAAAAAAGGAAAAGGCGTGGCATCCACTAACAGCTGTGCTTATTGTATGCCCATTTGCACGATAGTGCCTGCAAGTTTTTTTGGAGCACAGGGTGATGCATGTCTTTGGATGATTCTGGACCGTACTCAGAGTGGCTCCCCTTTCAAGGGATCAGTTCTTTTAAGGGCATTCCTCTGAATTTAGCAAGGATTGACTACAACTGTGTGCTTCTCATGCAATGGGAGCAGAACCAACCCATGGAAAGGCTTGTTCTAGGCCAGCGACAGTCTCAAGCGACTCTTTTGACATCCTTGCTAATTGCGCACGCTTCAAGGATAAGCTAAGGAGCGCAGGCAGTTCAGATTTGCGTCGAACTAGATACTAACGAGCACTATTGGTGCAGTTCGGCAGCAAATGGGTGTCCTCAGTGAAAATAGAGAAATACTCTCGGCATTCACAAAAAACACCTTCAGAAGTGAGCCCTGATAGCTGATGGACAGTCATAAAATGTTGATTTCTTGACAGGCACAAGTTGAGGACCCATGCAGATTACTCGGACTTCTTTCGAGCCGGAGTCATCAGAGCGCCGCAGTGTCGCTGACGATGCGACCCTGGGACAAGCGCAGCGTCCGGTCGCAGACTTTGATCAGCTCCTCCTGGTGCGTGACCAAGAGCGTAGTAGCATTGATGTCCTGCCGGGCCAAACCACACACATCCTTTGTGCGTAACAAGTACCCCTCACCCAGATAGAACCTTGTCCCCTTCGGTCCCATTTGGTCCCCGTTCGGACCCCATTCGGTCCCCGTTCAGTCCCCATTCAGTCCCCATACAGTCCCCATTTGGTCCCTTCGGTCGGTCCTCTTTGGTCTTTGTACTGGTTTTATTCATTCTTCGGTCTTCGTGATTCACGCAAAAATAAGTTTCGGAATGATTGACTAGTTTCAAATTGGTTTAGAGATGGCCTGTGTATTGAGTCTAATTGGTTTGAGTGTCATGCCGCCACAACAAGCAACTGCACAACCGTATGCATTAATCACAGCAAACACAACATAACACTAGCGCACAAATAGAATTCCCCCCACATCTAGCACGAACGCAGCACAACAATCGGATCATTGGACACGTGATGACCAGCAAACCGATTTCACGCGAACGGGGCACAGAACAACAATCAAACACATTGGAGCCGACAGTGCATCATCACACCACTTGAACCGCGGAACACAGCATCACGGCATACCTTTTGACAATGACGTGAGCAGGAACAGAAGGCCCAAACAGAAGCTATCACCAGGTCAGCCAGCAAGTCAAGAAAGCTAGGCCAAGCATTTGCATTGACATTCAGTTAGAGTATCTGACAACAATAATACCGCCAGCACGTCAAACAGGTTCACACGCACACGCACGCCTGCGTGCCACACCACACATCAACCCTCTGAAAGGCCACCCAGCAAACTTTGCCCACATCTGGAACTTCATGCAGCATGTTCTTCAAACAATCCCCAGCGCACTTGGCCATTGTTTTGCTCGACTTCACTGCAAAACACTCAACCTTGCGCATCATGGCATCATCATTTTATATAATTGACGACCAAGGCCAGGCCGATGACCACAGTCATCCCTTGCCAGGTGTACAGCAAGGGTAGCTCAAACGATGATTCCCCTGCAAATCAAAGTGGTGCGAACGGATATCGTCCATGCAGTACGCCTTGCCTATTGTCTTGATTTTTTCTGCACCTTGGACAGGTGCCGAACAACCCCAAGGCATCACACGATGCTGCTGACGACCAATGCCGGACTAAGCTCCACTGAATCAGGGTGAAAATAGAAGATGCTTGCCAGAAGCCTCTTGCAATTTGAATTGGAATTACCGTCCCGCCCTTTCCACAAGACAAGACCCTGAGAATGCTTCCGCAAGCCGCTGGGGTCTACGTACCCATGGCATCTGATTTTTAGGGCACCCTTTCTGAGGTGCCAAAGGGAATCAAAGGAGAACCCATAGGGATCAGTGCAAATTGTTGGCGCTCTGGCGCCTGGAACTTCTTCACCAAATGCTGCACTGTAGACAGCGCCGCCTCCTGGCAGTTTCCCCGTACTGACAAAATCAGAGCCAAAGCAATAGCGATTCTCAGTGACTAGGGGCCAAGGATCAAGGGCCATAACCCTCACGGCTCTCCCATGCTACGGCCCATCAGTAATTCTTGGGGTTCTCCAAGGGGAATGAAAAACCGAGCCAATACATCACAACCTTTATATAGGCGGAGAGAATTGCGTGTTGCATGTCCTGCCAACAAAATGATACAACAAAACCATCCCTTCCAGCGGGGCTGCGACGACTTGGCGCTTGGTGGTGACTGTCGATCACCCAACGTCGACAGCGAAGGTCATGCATGTTGAGCCAACCACTGAAGTGACTTATTTCATACAATATGAACGTGTGTGATCATCATCATCGCCACCATCACCATCACCATCACCATCAGCATCACACTCACCATCAGCATCGTCACCGTCCTATCATGATCAGATTCAGCATCATCAGCATCATCATCATCATCATTGCTCACCAAGTGAAGAATGTAGACAAGTGCATATATATATATACATACACACGTAATGGATATGTGGTCACCCTCCCCCCATGGCCCACCTTCTAGCGATGCTTTGCTCCTGCCATTCATATACTTGTGTGATGTGCATGGACTGTATAAACGTACCGTTAATACTCGTGTTTTGAGCACAAGATAACTACACACACGCACACCCTATAACCCCCCCCCCCAAAAAAAAAAAAAGAAGACAAAGGATTCTGTTTCAGAATTAAAGTTTTGCACTATCTAAAAGTATGACCCACATATATATATATATATGATTATATATGTGCAATTAGATACATGTGATGTAGGGATCGCACACACTAAATCAGGTTATGAACAGCAAGCCACCAGGATCGCTTCTTTCGAATCACCCAACAAATGCTGATGAGTTAAGAGCCACATTCTGGGGATGTCTGAAGAGCAGGGACCCCTCAAAATTGTGGCGTCCCTTTCATTTTCTTTTAATGACTTCATAACAGCACATATCTAATGTTAGTTGGGGACCCTTTGGTGGACGTCATTCAAGCGGGACTTATGTCCACCCATCACTTTCAGAGGATCGTCAAGCATATGGGCGCGTTTGGTTCTGAAGGTACCCTTGTTCGGGCAGTTTGAAGGGGAATTCAACCGGAAACCACACCCCTTACGGGCAAATGAAAAGATAGAGGGATTCCAAAAAGGAGGTTGTCCTTTTGGCTTCCCTTTAACCAACCTGAAAAGGGCTCCCTTAAAAGAACATGCACCCAACTATCATTCAACACCTTGACACCTTTATACTGGGTGAATCATTTATACTGGTGGTCATCACTGGTGAGCATCATTTACATGGGGATCTATGTTCATCAGCCATTCTTGAGAGCTTTCTCTAAGTAAACCAAACAACATGTCCCACTAAACAACACCACACACAGACATAGTACATGGCCCCCCCCCAAAAAAAACAACTCCCATATCGAGCACGTCCGGTTCCTGAGGCAAAGCAGCGGTGACCTCATCCAGCAGTGCCGCCTTGGGCCTGCGCAGCAGCGCCCGAGCCGCACACAGCAGCTGGCGTTGCCCGGAGGAGAGCGTCATCACACCTGACGGGAAAGGGCCACTGTTTCGAGTTTGGCTTGCAGATCAAGGGGATTCTACACATTTTGGAAGTCCTGCACATGAGGGCGTATCATATCTGGGCAAAAAATACGATAATTCGCTCTAGACAATGGATTGGATGCGCTTTTTGTGGAATTCAAGGTTCTTCCACCTGTTGGTCCTTCTTCAGTAATCTTGTAGTACTCTTTTAATATTCCACAGGGGTGGGTCCACAAAAGCCAAATCCAAACCGTTTTCTAGATTCGCAAACTGGGAATGAGGAATCAAAATAAAGGGCAGTTGATCATGAGCTCATTTTAGAACCCCAGGTGAGCTCATTAAACTTTGCCCAGATATCATCTGCCCCGAATTCATCTCGATCTCCTGAATTCTTCGTTGGTTTACTTGATGCATCCAGTCTGTAAAACATGGTCCGACTGGTTAATCCATCAATGGGTTTTGGGATCCAGTCTCTTCTCAAATCGTGCATCTGCCATGTATCTCTGGGCTTTGGCTGGGAGGTGACAAATAGAACTGCCATTGTTCACCATAATCGAAAACTGCTGCGTCCCTCACCGCTGCCAAACATCACTGGAGATCACTGGAGTCTCTGGTTCGAGATTCGAATTAGCCAGTCACAAAGGATGCGGAACAAACTGATGACCCACGACTCGGTCGTAAGCGCTTCGAGCGCTACGCGCCTGGGTGGGCCTGGCTGCCGCCCACGGTGCCCTGCACCTTGGCCTCAAGGCCGAGAGAGCCGCAGCTCCGCAGCAGGCCCACCGCCTGAAAGCCACAGAACTGAGCCAACGGGAAATGGAGGAAAACCACACAAGTCACATACTTTTTGAGCAAGCCTCGCGCACTAGTAGTGCTCTTGATGTGGTGACAGTGGCATGGTACATAGTTGTGGGAAGGGGCGAGCCGGGCATGAAAAACATTGGCAATCGTTATTTCAGGGTTGGATCACACATCATTGAAACGGGTGTTTCCATGAAAGGAACCTGCGCGATGCTTGAAGGCTGAGATTGCAACGAGTCACAGCAAGATAAACGTGGTGAAGTCATGGGTGCTTCAGGTGAAGTGGATGTCCTCCGTTCTTGAACTCTTGCCCTGGTTCGGACCATTGCACGTCGGCGCAGCTCTGTTGATACGAAACGAAACCAACACACATAGACCAAACGTTCAAATTATGCATGGTTGAGCTTTGAATCCATTCAACTTGGGTTGCAACGTTGTTGTGCTCATCAAAAGAAAGGGATGATGACAAGTTGTGCGGTTGGAAATGCTCATCTTCAAGTCGCAGGGCATGTTTCCTTCCCTTGAAACATCGCAACAACATATATATATATATATATCTATAGGTATGAATTGCAATGCCGAGTTGATCATTCAAGCAACCCTTGACAGAGAAGAACTCGCACGGGCAAGCGCACGTATATATCTATAGATGTGAATTGCAATGCCGAGTTGATCATTCAAGCAGCCCTTAACAGCGAAGAACTCGCTCGGGCAAACGCACGCACACACACACACACACACACACACACACACACGCACGCACGCACGCACGCACGCACGCACGCACGCACGCACGCACGCACGCACGCACGCACGCACGCACGCACGCACGCACGCACGCACGCACGCACGCACGCACGCACGCACGCACGCACGCACGCACGCACGCACGCACGCACGCACGCACGCACGCACGCACGCACGCACGCACGCACGCACGCACGCACGCACGCACGCACGCACGCACGCACGCACGCACGCACGCACGCACGCACGCACGCACGCACGCACGCACGCACGCACGCACGCACGCACGCACGCACGCACGCACGCACGCACGCACGGCAGCCGCATTCCAAAACCACATTCCGCGATCCACGGCCCAAACAGCCTTGATGACCTCCCAAAGCTGCTGTGAGTCATGCTGCTCCGCAGGGTCCAGGTTCCAGCGTAGAGTGCCTGTGGATATGCAGCACTCACTGGACATTTGCCAAACATCTTGTAAGTAAGAGCTGTATTGAAATCTCACTATGTGTCTACCAAATAGACAAAGCACGTTTGGAGCACGTGTGTAGCACCGAGAGAAAGGTCATATATGTATTATATAT